CACCCGAAAGAGGACGAGGCATCGCCCACCCATTCGACGTTTTCCGTCGGTGGGTCTTTGACCAGGTGGAAACAGTCAAAACCGTCCAAACAGAGTTTCCACTCTTCGAGATCCTCTATTACATCTTCGGGGGTCTTTCTCATGGCACGTCTCTTCTTCCAGCTCTTCAACCAACGATAGAAGGATCGGAGGTACGCCGCCATATGTGGTACCACGTTTACCGTGTGGCACAGCCTTCCTACTAGAACATCTACTTGTTCGTATTTCCATTTCGCTCCCTGAACGAGGAACTCTTCCACCTGGTCCCTCCTTTGTTTCAGCTTTTCTTCAGGTAGCTTCACCGTATGCTTCACTCCATCCCACACAAATCCCAGATATCGTTGGCTTGTACTGAAATCTTTGTTTTTCTCCGGGTTTGTCTTCACTCCCATCTTGCTACTTAGATCAACTATGTCCTTCAAGGAGACGTCTTCCCCTGGTCTTTTGAAGAGCAGGTTGTCATCAACCCACCTAAAGATCGTCGGTAAGTTGAGCGTCTTCTTCACTATTACCTTCCATACCTCTGCCGGTCCACCAAACACCCCGCAGCTAGCCACACCGCCGAATCCCACCGCTAAGTCGATCCAGACACGTCCATAAAAATCGACGATACACAAGAATCTTCTCTGGCTAGGGTGGGCCCAAAGCTGACGATATGCTTTTGCCCAATCCACCAGAGCTAAGTGCCATGCTCCTGGGTTTTCCCTGAAGTCGTCCCACTCGGTTTCATAGTTGTGTTTATCTACGAAGGAGTTTACGGAAGCTATCTCTGGGTCGTCCTGGGGGTGCGATAGGTCGTTAATGAGTCTTACTGTGCCGTCACCGTTGATGGCACTCCCCATCGGATTCAACCGAAAGAAACCAAGTTGTTTGTAGACCTCCTCGTGAGTGTAGGGGCCAAGGATCCTTCCTTCTTTCCTTTCCTTCGTTAGCGTTTTTTCTATCTGGTCTCTCACCAAAAGTGCTGAGGAATGGTTCTCGGGGGTGTACCACTTCCTGTCTCCAAGTGAGTGTTGAGGAATTCCAAGGCAAAATCCTTCCTCAAAACCATCGACAATGTAGGGGATCTTGTCTTCTAGACCTACCGATTTCATTAGCCTAACCCACTCACTGATGTTCATGTCACATCTCACCGGGCTTGGCCAGTAGGATTTGACCTTTGCTTTATAGAGCTTGCGTTTATGCAGGGGAAGGAGTTTCTTTCCTTCGTTCACCTCATCTTCTGCCGCTGATTCGGGTGAGTCGTCCTCATAGCGAACTTTGAGATTCTCATCTGACTCATATTCTGAGTCCGGCTCTGGGGGTGAGAGTTCTAATCCGCAGCTGGTGTTCTGGGCAGGTTGAATTCCAGCATTGTTCAGCTCAGCTCTCGACGTCAAGGGGGTGGGGTTCTCAGGCAAAATTGAGATGGCATGGCTGCTCTCTGAATATTGGGACAAAGGATGGGGGGGGTGCACAATTCAAAAGTAATTTATTTCAAATTTTCTTCTTTCTCTACTTTGTTTTCCAATTGAAGAGATCTAATCCACATAACACCCACCATTCAATCCACCAGGAATATCCCCAACCAAGGAATAGAACGGTCACCAAGAGACGGATTGGATCAAACACATCGATTTCCCAAGCAGACGTTTAACGTCGAAGGAGTGGGAGAGGGAGGGGGGTAGAGGGAAATAAGAAGTGAGTAATGACTTCTTGTGGCCTAGCCCCGTGCACGAAAGTTGACTTACCAATTGTTGTCTCTCCCATTCTTGTTGTTTCTTCCCCTGCCTCTCCCTCCGCTAGACGATGCATACAATTGTCTATTTGCGTGTTGTTGCCCTTGGGCGAGCCAGCCTTGGTTCGACGGACCAGCAAAGTTGGAGTGTCCCGTAAAGTTAGAGGGGGCAGCCGAGGTCGAAATACCGTTCTGGTTTGAAGGACCCGCTTGGTAGTTCATCGCATATGGTTGCGGAACATAAGGAATGTTTGGAACATCAGTATGATGTTGACCTCTGCCCCGATTACCTCCTCTTTGCCTCCTCTGACCACTTCCACCTCCACCATCTCCCCCCTGTCCTTTCCCCTTCCAGGACCAATCGTGCTTCGGTTTGGGTGGTTCCAGTGGTTGGCCGGTTCTGAAGTCGTGACCTGACTTAGGTTGCCCAGGAGCGTAGGGATGTTCTTCATACATGAGATCTCCCGCTATATCGGCCTCCCATCTTGCCACCCGTGCCGCTTCTTCTTGCAAACCTTCCGGTAAGACAACCTTTTCCATCTTCTTCCCCTTCCTCCCCTTTCTCTTCTTATCATAAATCACACCCGACCGATTTCTGAAAATCACACTCCTGATTGCTATATGATACCGAAGGCCTACCATCCAGCATTTGTGTTGGATCATCAGGTTGCTAACTATCGCCTTATGTTCCGCGATGTACACAGCATACGCTTTATGACGGTAAAGTTCGTTTGCGTATCTTGCCTCTAGGTCACAAGCAAGAATGAATTCTCCATAGCTCATTCGGCGTTCCAGTTCGACCTCCAAGGTTTTGAATCCCCTAGCGTATCCTTTCTTCGAGCCAAAGGGAGCTGTGGCGTGGTGCGCTTCGATGTAGGACCGTTTGAACACCGACAGGGGGACGTAGCGGTTCATCTTCTTAAAGGCTTTCTGCCATTTCTCCGGTAAGTTCGGCAGATCAAAGGATGATGCTGTCGTCCTCTCAAACTTCAAACCCGAGAAAGAATCTGAGCTGCTACCGCTAGAGGAGCTAGATGAGCTATCCGAGGAGTTCTTCTCCGTCGACGAGGATGATGACAACGAGGAGTCTGAAGAGGATGAGGCGTAGCCGTGTTTGGTTTTACCCTCCCCTGAGGAGGAGGAGCTAGAGTCGCTTGACAAAGAACTAGGTAAGTCTTTCTTGTCCATTTTCCGCTGCTTCTTGGATTTCCCAGCAGATTTTCCTCTTGTCTTCGCTTTATCTTTCGAATTCTCTGACTTCCCTTCCCTCTTCTTTCTCTTCTCTTTTGATCTCTCTTCCGCCACCTTTCCTTCCCTGGCCAATGCCACAACCAGTCTATCTCGTAGGAATTTCACCGTGTCGAGGTTCTCCGCCCTTATGGCGTCCGCTAGACGGTCTAAGATCACGTCACTGCTGTCGTCTGTGCCGAGAGGGGCTACGTGTGGCGATGGAGTAGTCTTCTCTAATGGCCTTGGGACTAGAAAGACGTGTGGGAAGACGTGTATGTAGAGTCAGTTTCGCTTCTCTGGACTCAGGATTGACAAGAATGTTGTATGCTTCTACTATTACAGGAGCGAAGATGGGACGGGTGTATAACCCTGAAATGGTCTTCGACCAAAGCCCGGGTTGATCTTGTATTCTCTCTGAAGGGGGAAGTTGGGGGGGTGGGTATCCCAGGTATGAATTCAACAGTATTGAAATGTTCTGAGCTTCGACAAGGCTGCAATTCTTGGAGCTATTAGAGGGGAATACAATCCTTGCTACCACAGGAGAGCACCTGGAGCTGATTCGGTGGGATGAGCTAAAGTGACAAGTACGAGATAATCATTCCGCTACGACAGCCAAAAACTGGAGCCAGACGCGCTACGACAGAAGTACTGGAGCTCTGATCACTAGGTGCTTTGACCAGGGATTCACCAACGGAAGAAAGGAGTGTAGGTAGATCCGAGACGGGACCGTCCATTTGGAGGGATAGACGCTTACCGAAGTTCTTTTCTATTAACGTCGACAGGTCTTCCGTACCCAGATCCTCATTGCCATCAACCAAGGACGGCACTGATTTGGATTTCTTCTTCTCCTTGCCTTTCTTCAATTTTTTCGTCTTCACTTTCTTGGGCTTCCGGATGTCAGATGACTCACTGTCCCCGTCCGATGCCTCAGAATCAGATGTCGAGTCTTCTCTGTCGTCCATCTTGGTTGACTTCGAATGCTCCGCTTCCTTTGAGGACAGGGTGCTCGTGGTGAAGGTGAATCTCGGGGTAGGTTGGGGTGTGTTGTCGCCTTCTAGAGGGGTTTGTCCGACTTGAGGAGATCTTGATTCTGCTCTCTTCAGCCTCTCTTCTGCTTGTGTCTTCTCTTTCAAAAACTTCGCGAGTTTCGCTTCTTCCGCTTGTTTTGCTGCTTGAATCATTGGGTGATTGTTGTATTTGTTTAAGAAGGATTTGGTAGCTAACTGCCTCCACATTCAGATGCGTAAAGAACACTAAATATAAGAGAAAAGAAGAGTGAGAAAGCAAGAGAGAGATAGGAGAGGAAACTTGACTGATTCTCGAGTGCAGCTGTAGGATCTCAGGGGGGCGCAGAGAGAGAAGTGAGAAAAGTTTTCCACTTCTTCTGAGGCGCCATCCCTCAGTCAACATGTGGCTACCACCACTCACATGTCTGAGCTGTGACACTACAGTCTGCACCCGTGAACCCTCTCACTCTACTGAATGGACTACCCTGTACCTCCGCAGGCTCTGGGAACATGTAACAATTTCTTGATTCAAGGAAATTTCGAACCCGGACACCGAAATTTCACTCATTCGGGTTTCAAACAAGTTAACTCCCGCGGTGTTACCTGCAAAAGGTTGGGACTGTTGGGACATGTAACTTCACAATGATTTCACTACATTTGGGCAAGCACATATTGCAGATATCTTCAAGTGAGTAGGGATTGTGGTGTTTGTGCTTTGAATGCCACTCAAATTCCAGATCACTGGTAAGAGTTTTGTGGAGAATAAATTTAGCAGGACATTGAACATGGATAGAGCCACCGGACAACCTCTTAGCATCAGTGATTGTTGTCTGATTATGAATGTTGGGTTTGCCAGCACAGCTGCACAGCTAACTCTGTCCACTTGCGGAGTTGTGTTTGACCTCAGTGATGTTGATAAGGATTGGCATCATCTTCAAGCTCATCAAGGGACTTCCTGGCCTTGCCGTTATAAAGCTTCCCTTAGAAAATCCATTGAGAAGAGGCTGTCATGGAGAAGATGACGTCTTGTTGGCTTCCAGCTTCACAAGGAAGAGTGAGGCGCACCACGTCACCGGGGAAATGAGGCAGTTGTTGGGAAGTATCCCGTACAAAACGGTCAGATAAAAGTCAAACCCAGCTGTAGGGGTGACAAGATGAACTAAAGGCAAAGAATCGTGTATGTTGGCAGCAAAGGGATAGTCATCCAGCCTAGTCTTGATAAGAGTCAAAGGGGGCAAGCGCTTCCACTGATCAATGACGGCATAACTTGAAGGCGTCGGCTTGGCAGACGGCGTCTTGCCAGGTTTTGTTGGTGGCACTGCCATTGTGCTACATGAAGATAGAATAAATGGTGCAAACGTCAATTCAGAAAATTGGCAAAGCTATTAGTATAAATCACGAGAGGAGAACAAGAAGATGTCCCCGGATGAGCAAAGAGAACTTGACTGAAAAAACACAGGTCTCAACATTCATCGGGCAGCATTCAGCGGCAGAAGTTTTGCAATCGACACCTATTTGGGAACGAACAACAGATCAACAGCGTGAAGGCCAATCAACACCAAGAGCGGGATTACACATTTTTGTCAACAGCGTCCTCCACCACAACTGCTGTCTCCTGCCGGTCGTACTTGCGTGGGCCAAACTTTGTCTCAGCTTTTGTCGTTTGACGAAAGATGACTCAGCCGCAGGATCCACCGTGCCATGCTTCACAATTCACGGGCCTTGGACAATCTCAATGCTCATTCTCCTTGAATGACCGAAAATCTCTAAATTCCCCCGTTTGGGAAACCTAGAGTGACACTCCGAAAAGTTCACATCATCAATTATGAAAAATTAAACACCTTTCAAGTTCAAATCAATTTTGACTCCTGAAGACTCGACTCATGCCTCGAAACGAACCAATTCAAATCTCGCACAAAAATTCCAACTTCGAGTTTCCGAGCACTCCTCCTCTTCAATAACGTTCTGGGTTTGTATGTCTGTATAACAAGGTATAACCCCAGGCCAAAACCACTCAGGTATACATCAAACTCATTGAAACTTTTGAATCTTGATAAGATCTAACTTTTGATTTCAAAGTCGTTAAAACATCCTCATCTCAAAAACTCTCCTGATACAAACTTTGAAGAAAAGTTTAAAGAAATGAAAGCATGATAAAATGCTCAAAAGTTTTCGATCAAGTGTGTAATAATCTACTCCTTAAAATGATATACTTAATTGAAAATGTATAAATGTATGCGTGTAAAATGAATCAGAAGCGTGTTTCAAAAAAGTCAAAAGTTTTCCAAGTTAAAATTTAATTCAGAATTGAAATGATTTGATGAGTGTTGTATTCACCAACCAAGTATTTCATCAGTGTTAAAAAGTCAAATCGATCATCAACTGTTTAAAGTCGGACGTAAAGTGTAGACATCAAGCTCGGCAGGCACGGACATGTGAAGAAGTACTCGGTTAAATCAAAAGAATTTCTTTCTTATATAAAACTCAAGAAGGTATTACTTTTTCTAAAATGAATGGCACCCCTGGCCCGAGAAAAAAATATTTTTCAGCGCCGCAGTCCCCGCAGCCGGTGCAGTGATGCATACAGAATCCAGATCAGCTGGCTGACGCGGCCTGCTGAGCACTGTAATTGGCAATCACTCACCGAACTCCCTCTACGATTGGCTTTCAACACCCACTTCCTCGACATTTTTCCTGACGCCTCAAACCAATTGCTTCATCGATCACACGTAAGTCGTCCTATCAGCTTTCTAGCACACCTATTCCACGTTGACTTATAACCTTTTCTCTTTTTCTTTTTCTTTTTCTTTGACTTTGACTTTGATTTTGATTTTCTCTTCTTTTTTTGACCATGTAGATCAAAGACTACCCCGATTCAAACAGAGACCGTCATATGTCTAGTTTTGCTACAGGTCACGGAGAAGGGATGGGCATTTGATTGAGATCTCATTGATTTAATTGAATTTTTTATTATCTAGTTAACGAACACGATCATTCTGTTGATCGGATTGATATCACAATTGTTTCTTTACCTGATGTATCTTTTTTATTGAATCTCTTTAATACTTTTGAACGTCTCTTGATTTTTGTGCTGTCTGACTCAGAAATCAATGCAAAGAAGGAAACTTTTGTTTGATTTGCCATTCAAAACCAAACTTATCTACAAAACATCAAATTAAATTGTTCATATTTATTTGAACAACTTTTAACATTTCAGTTAAGATTTTAGGATGAACGAACTAGATACTGGATCCTCTATTTTAGTGAGATTTGATTGAAAAACATTGAGATTATCAATATAATTGAAAGTTTTTTGTCGATGCAACAAAGAATGAAAAAGACAATAAGCTGGATCATGTTCTGCTTGAGTAACTATAAGTTGTTTGGCGTCATTTATGTTGGATCATAAGTGAGATTAATGGGACTTTCTCAGTTTGTAGGCTCATACTTTTGGAACACAGTGAACTTGCATTGATCAAAACAAAAACAAAAAGTGTGAGTCATCACAACCACAAATAAGAACTGAGAACAAATACTAGCATAAGCATCAATTACTACAACTTGAAAAGTCATTAACAGGAACCATGAGTTATGATATCCTAGAGCAAAACTTATCATAAGGACACATTTTTTGTAAAAAAAAAGGAAATGGTGGTCTGGTACCAGAGATAGGCCAAGTACGAGACCACCCCAAATCACTCATAACCACCCTCAATCACTTGAAATCATCTCAAAAGTGAGTATCATCTTTGCTTATGACGGTGTCGGTTTGAACAAGGAGTTGGGGTAGTCTTTGATCTACATGGTCAAAAAAAGAAGAGAAAATCAAAATCAAAGTCAAAGAAAAAGAAAAAGAAAAAGAAAAAGAAAAAAGGTTATAAGTCAACGTGGAATAGGTGTGCTAGAAAGCTGATAGGACGACTTACGTGTGATCGATGAAGCAATTGGTTTGAGGCGTCAGGAAAAATGTCGAGGAAGTGGGTGTTGAAAGCCAATCGTAGAGGGAGTTCGGTGAGTGATTGCCAATTACAGTGCTCAGCAGGCCGCGTCAGCCAGCTGATCTGGATTCTGTATGCATCACTGCACCGGCTGCGGGGACTGCGGCGCTGAAAAATATTTTTTTCTTGGGCCAGGGGTGCCATTCATTTTAGAAAAAGTAATATCGGTTTACGTATCCATCACAGTCACACCTTTGAATCTGACACCAGAATCTAAAAACCTTTCATCCAATCATTTTTTTTTGTTTTGTTTTGACACAAAGGGTACAAATCACATCTATCATTTACCACCCACTTCGGTAACGCATATGTTACATATGCGACCAAATATGTACCACCAAAAAAACATACCGAATTTCGGTTGTATATATGACCCGGAAAACCAATTTGGTAACCTAAACTGCAACGAAACAGATATACATATTTTGACATTTATATGTAAAATTTGTACAAATTCTCCAAAACGACTTTTTGTCGTTTTTTTTTTATGAAAACCAACTAATATCTATTGATTCTCTTTCATCTCGAAGTATCACTTTGTCTTTTTTTGTACTTCACCGAAAACAATCAATTTTTTTTTGTTTTTTTCTTTCTCATCACAAATAACTTCAACTCTTCACTACCTCAACCTTGCTCACTCAGTTAAATCAATCAATCAATCTGGTCAACCTCATATCCCCTCTCATCGAAACTCAAAGTCGACTTCAAAATATCCTTCAAGCCACTTTCATCTTAAAAAAAAACTTCCTTCAACTGTTATTTATCATTTCATTCAATTGATTCATTACATTACCTTTACCTTTTCAATCTCGACATGCCGGCGTCCACCAACATATCACAATCAGTTGAAGACAGTCCGATTGTTTCAACACCCTCATCCAAGTGCGAATGGACCAGTGACCAAGAATCGAAAATGATCGAACATCTTATAAAAACTCATAGGAACAATAAAAGTAATAAAGGCTTTTCAAAAGCAACTTGGGCATTGATTGCAACTGAATTGAAGGGTACTGAAGGCGCGACTAAAAAAAAGACTGGTGAGATGGTACATGGTCATTATAATGTGGTAAGTCTTTTGCTTTTGTCTCTTTCTTTCTACTGTATATTAATTGTATCTTTGTTTCAAATTAAGCTTAACAAACGGTACAAAGATGCGAGCGATTTGTTGAAGAAAAGCGGTGCCGGATGGAACCCCGAAACGAATATGGTCGAGCTCAGTTCCGACATCTGGAACGAGATGGCCAAAGTACCAGTATGCCCAGCTCATTCTTACCTTCATACCTTCTTTCTTGTCTGATTGCTAATGCTGTGACTTTCTCATCCCAGTCAGGAACTAACAAGCGTTTAGGTTGGTTCAGAAGGAACCCCTTCCCGCTTTATGAATCAGTTGGTGTGCTCGTCGATCCTGGGATGGCCAAGGGAACTGGGAAGATCAATTCTTTTGCTCCTGCCGAGGAAGCTGTTGGAGAAGGTGAAAAAGATAAGGATGATGATACTTCAAGTGGCAAATCAATGAGCCATGATGGGAGTCAACTTGGGAGTTTAGATGAATCTCGACTTCAGCGTGCTATCGAATCCGATGAAGAAACACCAGCACCTACCAGCACTTCTCAAGATCTTCCCAAGAATAAATTCATGAAGAATAAGAGATTCAAACACGATCGATCACCAGAAATCGATTCAAAAGTCAAAGTTCATAAACCTTTTCAAAAACGACAACGCAAGACTGCGGCTCAAGCTGGTGAAGACTTTATAGATGGAATTGGCTCGATTTCAGACAAATTTATTAGTCACATGGCCAACGATAATTTAGCTTCTGGAAGTTCGACTCAACCTTACGACTTTCTCACCACTGCTACTCGGGGATTACGCAAGCTTGGTTTAAGTCAAGATGAACTGTACAAATCAATGGAAATGTTAAAGAAAGATGTTGACTATGCCAAAATGTTTGTTGGTCTTGAAGAAAAGGATTTACAACTTGGCTGGATCAGAGGAAAGTTAGCAGGTGATCAAAATTAAATCGATTCAATTCAATAACTTTTTAATCACTTTTTCCATACATGAGTTTATCTTTTACTTTGGTCAAAGTCGAGTCGCATATATCTTAAAATAAATATTCAATAATTAAAGGTTTTTTTAAATACATTTGTAATTTCATAAGGCTTATGAGGTTCTTAATTGTTCTGTAATAACAAAGCCTGCTGATTGCTCAAGTTGTAATTGACTCTTGATTGAGTTTATATAAATACTAAAACATGAAAATATTTCGTCTTTATCAAGTTTCTAAAACACCTAAAACATGAGGGCATTAAGTATGATGCGAGTTTGTAATAAATGATAATAAATGTTTAATAACTTGCTAAGCGTCTAAGCAAAAATCGAAAAACAAATGAGTATCTTAATTCACATTCCACAAGCAGTTCGTTGTTGGCGATAAGTTCTCCACATTGCTTTAGCAATCTTCGTTCTCAACTTTCCTGCTTCAGTTGACTCTTCAGGAGTGTTTCCAACAGTGTGTAACTCCTCTTGATTGACTCAAGGTTGATAGTTTTCATCAAATTCCCCATTAAATTGCTCATCATTACTATCGACTGTTCTGATGAAATTATGTATAAAAGCCATTAGTAGTATTAATCTTGCTTGAATCAGTATGGGATAGTGAGAACCTTCTCCCATCACTTTAAATCTTTGCTTTGTTACACCAAATATTCTTTTGATATAGTTCCTTAAAGCTGCATGTTGTTTGTTATACAGTTCCTGATAAGTTCGAGGTCTGTAGAGTACAAAAACATCAGTTTGCGCTATTCAATAAAAGAGGTTTGGTGGCGTACTCAGAGTTATCGCCGGAAAATTCACGAAGATGATATCGCACCCCTCGAAAAGGGGTTTGACAAGTCAGACTCAATGCAAAGCCAGCATCGCCCAAAACATACTTACCAGCCGGGATGGTAAGATTGCTTTCGCGTGCATCATCCCAGAGTTTACTATCCGCCACACTACCTTCCCAGCCAGCTAGAATATACGTAAAACATAAGCTGAAATTACAAGCCGCCAGTACATTTTGAGTTATATTGCCTTTTCGATTGAAATATGGCTTGGCGTCAAGTGGCGATACATGAACTGGCATATGCGTTCCATCAACTGCCCCCACGCAATTCTTGAAATAGGGGTACCAATCGGGGTTATTACGGATGGATGCTGACATCGGAGTATCCTGTTGAGGGAGGATGATGTAAGAATGGATCAATTGGGTAATTTTGGTGATATCCTGAGTTAAGTTGTTGATGATCCTGTAAAGACACAATCATCAGTCTTTGAAATGAATAATATAAATGATTTAATGGATTCACTTTGAAACCGTGTCAGCAGATCTTTGGAAGCGTTGGTTAAGCTTCGTATTTGATAGCCCGGTGATGAGGAAGTAAAGTAAAAGAGCTAATTGCTCTGTGCTGGTAACGTATCTGGAATCAGCAAGTGATCCAGATTCCTCGAGCCTTTCTCTCAATCCCACAAAAACCTCCTTTTTCATTCCCATATTTTCGTAGAAAACCTTTTCGTGCCCGGTCAGTAACTCATCAATCCACATCTGGCCAGAAAGGATTGATCTGATCCTTGGATTTTTTATTATAGTTGGCTTCAAGATTGTGTTGTAGTAGAATCTAGCGGATTCCATCAGGATTAAGTGATTGAAGAATATAATTTGGCGACGTCGATGTCTCCGGCGCTGAAGAGCTCGAGTATGATCCATTTTTTAATGAGGTTATATTAAATTTGTTCTATTACATCTACAAGCGGCGGGAAGGGTTCATTACAAAAAGAAAGAGTGAGCTCATCAAGTCGATGAGCTCGGTGACCTTGTTTACCGAACGACAAATGATCATTTCATCGTTGAATGATCATCATCTTCACTTTGATTCGGTTACCGAAGGTTTTCAAGGATCACAGCTTTACATATACATACACGGTGAGAATATTTCTCACCGTGATGTAAAAATCATATATGTAACTTTTTTCGGGTTTTGTTACCGAAGTGGGTGTACGGTACTCAAACTTGTGTATAGTTGTGTATAGTTGGTTCGTGTATAGTTGTGTATAGGGTACTCAAAGTAAGTATGCACACATACATACTTTCGTGTGCATACTTTTTTTTGGCGGGGAAAAAGAAAAAAATATACTTTTGGCCTCGGTCTCCCCGCCAAAAAAAAGTATGCAGCGAAAAGTATGTACGTGTGCATACTTACTTTGAGTACCCTAAGTTTTTTTTGTGACTATACACAACTATACACAACGAGGCCAAATTATAATTTTGTTCGAAGTTTGCCCACATGGTCTTCCCCGCCTCTGAAAGCCTCTGAGCCTTCAACCATGGCCGATCAAACTCCACCACCACCAAACACCAACTCAACAGACCACACAACCCCCTTTAACAGCCTGAGTAGGACTCCAAGTGATCTTGTGTGGAGCGCGTCTCAACCCCTAACCACTCCCAGTCCGGCCGCCGCACCAGTTCAGTTTGTAACACCGTATCCTGCACACCATCCGTTGATTCCATCCGGTTCTCCCCTGGTCTTGACGTACTCTGCAGCTCACCCCCTTCAGCCCACCGTGGGCTCTCTGCCTTCGAATTTCATCATGTCATCCCAATCTCCGGTCGTATCAGCCCCAGCTGGATCAGAACAACCTGAAGCTGACAACAACCCCAAGGGGGCTCGCCGTAGTCGAAAAAAAAAACAAACAGATTCATCACAAAGCAAATCTCCAACTCGGAAAACAACCGCACAGTCATCGAGCGCTGAAGACAAATCGGGTTCCGGTCGTAAACAAAAATCATGGCAAAAAGATCTAAATTCAGAGGGGAAGAGTATGTTGGACTTGATAGTAGAATGGTGTAGTCTCAACTGGGGTGATCAAGAGTCCGCGAGTGATGCAGTGTGGATGTGTATGGATGAAAAAGATACAATCTCCAGTAATTATGACAGATTTCAAATGGGCCTTCCAGACAAGAAAGAGTGTTCAAGGAGGTATGCTCTGTACATCGGTGCAAAAGGTTTCGAAACTCCAACCTGGGATGGTGTGAGACAGCAGGTAGTCGATTTCTTTTTTATTCTAAAACGTTACTTTCATTGGTTTACACTCATTGTTTAAATTTATCCTTTAACGCTGTACCTTTAGATCGTTGCTTTGGAAACCAAATTACATGAAGCAAACAAGTGGCGTAATTCAACAGGTGAGGGCGGTGGGTTGTCAATCACGGGGAACGTTGAGGCCGAAATTGAGGCGCTGCGATTGAACGGAAATTGGACTCAAGATAAAGAAGATGAAATCCGTGCATTAGCTGCAAAAACAACCGAAGGTAAGCTTGTTTTCAAATGGGAACGAGCTTGGACATTTGGCTCACTGTGTTTTCCTCAAAAAGAATGCTTGCGTGCTAGATGCCCGTACTACAATTACCTTCAGCCTATCATGGGCAATAGAGCGAGCAATGAGCCGATATTTGCTGCCGATTCAGGAAACAAACATCTTTCTCGCGCTGCCTCGATCATGGACCGTCCCCCGTCTCCTCCAGCGAATGAGTCTCAGGGGACTCAATTTAGTGGTTGGGATCCAACTCAAAATATCGATATCGAACTCAACCAAGACACTTTCAAGGAGATTCAGAGCCAAGCAAATACAGACCTAACCTCAGCTACATCTCTTGAAATATCTGGCCCTGATGATTGTATAGCCATCTCACAATCGGCAGAGTCGAATCCAGAGATCACCTCAGATACATCTCCTGCCTTAAACGAACGTATGAATCTGACATCCATCCAACATTCATCTCACCCTATGGATTACACCTCCAGCTCTGAATCCTTTCCGAGACCAAATTCAAAACCACGACTTAATGTTAGTCAAAAACTCAATCAAACCAACATCGACAGTCCCAGACGATCTGATACTAGTACGTTGAATGTACTCAAATCGATTCATTCTTCATTACCTACTCAAGACGATTTCCAAGAAATGAAAAACGATATCAAGGCTTCGATCCGAAACGGTCAAAGTATGATGCAAGAAGCTTCAGCAAACTCAAGCAGCCTATTCAGACTTTTGGAAACCAAATACGGAAAACGCGATCTGGAAGATGAGGATTTATGCCCCGAGGCTATGAGCAAAAAAAAGGCAAAGAAGGACAAGCAAGAAGAACTTGAGCTTCTCAAATTAGACCGAGAATTAGCTCAGGAGCGTAAGGCGTTAGCAGAGAATAACCAGGGGTCAGGTTTATCGAAGCTCGATTTGGCTCGAGAGAAAGTCGATATGATTACCAAATTTTGTGCGGTTGGCGTCTCCTTAGACGATGCTGAAAGAAAGGCTGAAGAAATATTAAATAGTTTGAAATGATCGTTCTTATTCATGTTGTTTAAAATGCAATTATTAGTGAAATCATTTCATTATTCCCTTCTAAAAATACAACTCCTTCTTTATCGATCTCTTCTGGTTAATCTGATACTTCTTCTTATTTTAGTTGTGGTACTTATTCCAATCTTGGTGAATCAAATCAAATCTATTGTTCAAATTCTTTGATTCGGATTAGATCAAATACTCCTTGTTCATTCAATGAACCAACAAATGAAATCGAATCGTTTCTTTTTCTGTTTTATTAAAAAAAACAGAAAAAGAAACGTTCGGAGCTTCTACTTATACGTGATCGTTTTCAGGTTTAGAACGATCACGTATAAAGATTTAAGTCATTCTGAATACGACACTTCAGTTTCTTTCCTATCTTCCTATCTAGAAAAAATACTTGATTCTCACCCAAAAATTGTTTGAAGTCACTTTTTTTTGAGGCTCACCAAATCATAATTTCACATGTGCAGTCCAACAACCAAATAGTACAAAAATTGTTACAAACAAAGATATTTGTAAATACTAGTTGCAGTTCTATTTGAGTTCTTTCACACCCTTCAAAATTGGTTGTTTAAAATGTCTTTTTTCCCTTGTTTGCAAAATTTTTTAAAAACATCTTTGGAAAATTTGAAAATTCTTCTACTCAAAATGATTCACATGACTGGATAGTAACAGCTAGTTGTTTTGACCAGTTTGATAGATTCTAAACTGTTGGAGGAGTTCATTCCTACGGCGATATGAAGAGTCTCGATCATTCAAGGGTTGTTCTTGAGCCTCACCAGGTTCCTCGAATGGTTCATTTGAGGAATGTTCTGGAATCCAATTGTCCCTGAATTTGATAGTAAAGTTGTGCAGTATGCAGCAAACTTTTAACCAGGTAACTGCACTTTGTGCGGAAAGTACGTCTTTAATCATGATGCGTAAACTTTGCAGTGATTGGAATCGCAGTTTCAGTTGTCCGTTGCTATGCTCACTTACAACTCTCTGTTCACTCAAAGCCTGGTTGAACTGCCTCCTCACTGTATCCAAGTTCTGCAAACGCGGGGTTTTGAAAGTAGGAATGATGTTCTCAGAGCAAGTATAACCCGAGTCGGATAAAATGTATTCGCCTTGGCCAAAATAATCCTGTGGATGCTGAGCAAGCTACCCATACAAATATCAAAAATTGATTCATCTTATCTAGAAACAGACCAAGACTTACATGTGATGATGAGTAGACACGTTGGTCGTGTGCACTACCACACCACCCGTGTAAATAATAGATGATTCGACCCTGGTGATCTGAGACTAACATAGTATTGAGTGCATATGTATGCTTACGAGTCCAGAAATCCTCAGGATCTTTGACCGGTGCAAAAGCCAGGGGGATCAGGGTGCCGTCTATAAAACCTACACAATCTTGAAAGAAAGACTTCCTCCCAATACACCTCTTGATCATATTTCTTTCCTCTTGATTAGGCCAATAAACATAATCATCTTCCAATTTCAAAATCGCCTCAAAACATCGGTATGTAAAATTGTGCACCGACCCTTCTAAGAACACAGTCAGCAGTCTTATAAGGAGCTGAACTTGATTGGTTACCTACCACTAAATCCAAACTTATCGCCTACCATATAAGCACTACCTCCATTTCCACTGAGACCCAGCCGGCTTAAAGTAATTAGCAACTGCCATTCAACTATTGTTTGAGGGGAATTGGAGTTGTTATGAAATATTGGATCATCTCGGATGAGATCCGCCAATCGGTCGAAATTTTCTCTGGACATCCGTGCCTGATGTGTGGAATTAGTTTCATTAGTTAACCAAGGTGAATATGAAAGTCGAGGAAGGAAATAACACTTACATGTCGCTGAAAATTCCGATCACTTCCATTAAAAACTTTGCCAAACTTTAGAGCTTGGATGGCTGTAAGAGCACCCACTATGGTTGCGTTAACTCGGTGATTTAGCGTTACCCTAACGCTAAAATACCAACAGGTCCACTATGGACCTGTTTTAGACCTGCGGTCCGTACGGCTGTGTCAAGTCTTGCACTTCGTGTGCTCAGATTTACGCAAGCCTACGACTTGATTTATCGTAGGAACTAGGGAAAGCAGACGATAAATCATCCCATAGTGGATTTCACGCGGTTACCAACTTTGGTAAAACACGCATGATCAAACTTCGCGCTCAGGAACGCAAACTTTACGATAAAACACTCCCACCATAGTGGGTGCTCTAAGTCGGTCGTAAATCCTTGGTTCAACGTATCGGAGGCGAGTTAGGTAATCAAAAGCTTGACCAATCGCCAAAGCTATCTTGAAAGTATGCTGGTAGATCGCTTGCTGAGACATGATCAAAGCTTTAAGGTCCGAGCTGGCTTTGACAAAGTTGTTCAAGGCGTTAATGAGAGAGAGAGACGAAATGATAAAGACTTCTTCGGAGTTGTCCAATAGCATCAGGCCGGCGATTGTGGTCAGTTCGAGGTGAAGGCAGGCGCATAAACCGACATAAGAGGGTGGCTGAGAGGTAGACAAGAGGGCCGATAAGACATGCGCACTTGCTCGACCGAGCTCGACCGCGATTTTTTGCCGCTGGCCAACACGAGGCATGAGGTTGAGGTGAGGTGAGATAGAAGTATACACGGGGTCCTCAAAGCTATACACGAATTATACTTCTTTTTGCCTGTCAAAATCAAAGTATACACGGACTATACACGAACCAACTATACACAACTATACACAAGTTTGAGTACCGTAATTATTTATTTTAAGCTTGAATCTTTTACAAGATTAGATGAATGAAATCTTTTCGATGAATATGAACAACTCAGGATTACCAACTTTAGAAACTTGTTTAGAAGAATCTGATCAACAGTATGATGAAGTTGAAGTTGAAGATTGGAGAGAATATTATAGAACAACAGATGGTAAGTTTGCTTTTTGGTTTTTCTCTTTGATCTTTTTCATTTTTGTCTTTTCTCTCTTCACTTTTGATTTCGAGTAATACACTTTCAATCAAGTACCTATAACAACTTGGAATTGGTTTGATGATGATTTTGCGTCTTTACAAAATGAGTCAATAAACTTGAACCAGCAAGAGAATCAAGTTAAACTTATCCAAGATAGGACACTACTTCTCGCACGCTTCGCGCGCAGCGTGGGAGTTGGCCATAAGTTTGGAACCAAATAGCATCGGTGCCAAATAGGATAATTAAAGAAGTGTCATCCCATCTGTTGGAGGATGGTTGATTGAATTCGAACTGTCCAATTCCTTTATAATTCGTTCTCTCTTTCCTTATCTTTAGTTACTTTGTGTCTACATCTTACATACCTGTTAGAAAACAAACATCTACACTTCTTCCTACTTCAAAATCTTATCATCATCAAGTGACTGTGATTTGATTTGATTTCAAAACATCTATTGAAGCAAATCCCTACTGATTCGAGCTTTTTACTCTATCTTTCTCAACTTCTTGTTTAAGCAAATTAAATCTCATTGACTAGATCAACTAGGCCCTTACAACTAACTTGTTAAATCTTTTCGCCTAGTCAATTTTTAACAACACTTCATTCACTTGATCTTTTCATCACCTTTTGCCTTGTCGTGTCGGTCAAGGAGATATCAATTGCTTCAAATCATACCACCCTCAACACTTTTGAACAGTTGAAATTGATTCGTGTCTTGATTACTTTTGAATAGATAGATTGCATTCTTTCTTTTTTGTCGAGCTTCTTAACCTTTTAAACTTTATTCTTCTTTGTGATATCAACTTTCTACTTTAAAGATTTTATATCGTTCTACCTTTTTTGAAAAAAGGATCTAATCATTCAAACTTTTTTTTCCTTTTACTTTAGATACTATTACTACTTTAGTTACTAATCATCAACCCATCAATTCAATGTCCATGATGAGCTCTACTACGACGACTTCAATGAGCAACAATTTCAATCAAACCACAATTCCTTCTGAATCGAATCCATCACTTTTACCTGCTATACGACAACAACAACAACAACAAAGTCAACATCGTAGATCTCATTCACTTAATTTTGCAGCAGCCTTGAATCGAAGAGCCTCCAAAAGAACCGGTTCATCTAGTTCAACCCTAGCAAACCAAACCACCCGAGCAGCCATTCATACCTTACCAATCATTCAACCTGATACTTATTGGAATTCTTATCAAAACTCACGACATTTTAAAATCAGTCTTAGAGAACCTAGACAACAAGTTACCAGTTTACTTGCTCTAAGTTCGATTCCTAGACCGATCACACCACCTTTACATGAAGATTCAGAACCGAGTGCAGCTACTTTGATTGCGAATGTGACAAGATTGGTGATGGAAGAAGAGGCCACTAATGCTGCTATTGCTGCTTCACTACAAACTCTTGAGAATGAAGTGAATGTGAATGGATTGAATGAGAGTGATGAATTGGATTTGTTATCTAATTCTTCTTCTTCTTTACCACCTCCATGTCATGATTTGAATGGTAAGATTTTAATTTCTTGGAGCTTATTACGTTTTTGATTTTGATTAAATTGATGATTTTGTATTTTTGATTGATTTAGAAATTCGAAATCCATTTCGTAAACTATTAAATTCTCAACCTATTAAATTTTCTAACCGTAACACGATCTCAACTTCATCATCAACTTCTTCATCTGCAACTTCAACTTCTTCTTACCATCAAATCCAGTCACTTTCATCAAATCGACCTCATTCGATCTCCACCAATCCATTCACCAGTTGAGTTTATCCTTCAACTTCCGATTCGATTCTTTCTTTTTACCAATCTTCAATCCATCATGACCATGACCATGATGACTATGACCATGATGATGATGATGATCTGAAATCGATTGAAAGCATGTACATAGACACATACAACATTTACATACATAACCTTTTGCCTTAAATGGTAATCAATTCTTCTTCTTTTTCTTCTTCTTCTTCTGATTGTATGTGTTTAACAAACCAACGATGTGCTCTTTTGAAGTGAATCTGTAATCCAATGGTGTATTCAAACTTGCCAATATACAAACTGTCTTTTAGCACTTCTTGACCACTTTGAGAATAACCTTTTTTTCAATCTGAATCAATCAATCCTCATCCAAACTTTAATCTTTAATTTAGACTTCATCCAGTCTTGACTCTTCCAATCTAGATCATCAACATACTCACTTTCATTTCTTTCTCTTATAGCTACAACTCCAACTCATCATCAACCTCAATCTAAAGCTCGACCTGTTTCATTTCCATCATCAATTCCACATAATCTCATTCAACCTACTTCATTAAGTCCTATTCCAGATTATTCTCCACCTACTACTCCTCCTCACTCTCAAAGAGCTTCATCACCAATACCTTCAATGGATCAAGATCATCCACCACAACCACCATCTTCTTCACTTCCGCCTCTTCAATCTCCTCCTACACATTCTCCAGAGGTCTTTGTGATTGTTAGACCTCCACCTTCAAAAACTAATCATCCACTCAATCTTCAAGTTCAATTGGTCTTACCTACCTTACCGGCTAATTCTGCTTCAGTTCATCAAAATGAGTCTTCTAACTCTGATCTTAGAAGGACTCCTAGTGTTAGGAGTGGTCAATCGGAAAGATCTAACTCTAGTCTTCTCAGTATGACCAATAGTGAAGCTTCAAGAAGAGGTAGAAGGGTTACTCCTCTCTATAACCTTCAATGGCATACTGTCTTACCTACTTGGATCTCGGATGCAGGTCAGTTTCTGTTGACCTAACTCTTCTCCTCGATCGATCTCCTATGAAACTGAAACTGAATTTGATCTTCTTCCTCTAGGTACTGATGCCAAGATTGCAAAGTTTATCAAGAAAGGCATCGAAATCATTGATTTTGCAATCATCGAACCAGGCGAGATCAAGAAAGGAATTCCTAATTTACAACAGTTTAATCTAAGTCGAACTTTATCAAATCAAGTTCCAGCATCTAATTCTAGTATCAGTAGTCATCATTCGATTACCAACACATCTGAAAATGAAAACACTAAACTTAATGGACCTACGAACTGGTTTAAGAAGATTAAAACGATTGGCACGTTGGGGTCTAAACGATCACCTATTCCTCAACCTGTGGTGATTGTCAATGAACCTGAAGGCAATGAAGTAGTAGCAGATAGTGATGGGGCATTAAGTTCAACAGGACCTAGTCTTGAATCTAATCGAAGAGCAGAAGGATATGTTTGGATGGTCAGGAAATGGTTAAGAGAAGAAGCACCTGAATCGATTGTCTTGATCGAATGGAGAAAAGGATCGAAACCGAAGACGAAAAAGAATCTTCGATCATTGACGGTGATTGATTCTAATACGAATTCCAATCAAGCTTCTTCATCTAGACGACATTCGATCCAAGTAGCTGGTGAAGCAGAAGTCATGGATCCTAACTTTCATCCAAGACCACCACCTTCAGTGATCGAAGAAGAAAGAGAAACTAATGAGGAAGATGAAGAAGATGAAAGTGATGCAGAAGATTCGGAAAGACCTTGGCATTGTAAATTAGTTGTTATCAATCAAGATTGTCAACTTCATAACACAGAAGGCAAACGAACGTATATCGGAAGTTTTACACCTCAACCACATCATCCTAGAATCGTTGGCAAACTAACGGTCCCATGGAATCTCGAAACCATCTATCCGGATGAAGATTCGAAAGCTGTCTCGGTAGAAGAAATGAAAGATTTGATTGTCATCACATCGATGTGGTTGATCGTTAGGGAAGAACTAGGTGGAGGCAATCCGAATCAACAAGTTAAACTATCAGGAAAGATTTTACACCCTACGGTCGTTTTACCATTACCTTCATCTATTGGAGGAGGAGGAGTGTCTTCTTCTTCTTCTAAGAATCGAAATCGAAATTCGATTTCTGTGTTTGGGGTTGGGATTGGAGGTAATCAAAATCCAAAGAATCAAGATCGTCAAGATCATGAAGATCAATCTAATTTAATTTCAAACTTGAGTAAACTTAGAATGCCTTCTGCTGGAAATGGAATTCAAACTTTTCAGAATCATAAGAAATCATTGATAAATTGGTCAAAGATTGGAAAGTTGAATCCTTGATGATTTCTAACAATAATGATAATGGAAACTTTTCATGGTCTTTTTTTCCAAAGCTAATGTTTTGATTTTTGTATATTGATTTGATTTCTTTTCTTCTTCTTTTTTTTAAAAAATCTTAATCTCTTTTGATCATCTTTATTTCTATATAAATATACAATCAATTTAATTTAATCCTTTAAACTAGTGCTAAAATTAATTTAATCTTTGAAATGTTTTTTACTAGATTTTGATTTTGTATCAACATTTCTTTCTTTACGACGAATGGGGATGTATAAAAAAACGTGTTAAAAATTGGTTTTGGATTTTTTTTCCCTTTTTGTTTCCAATAATTTTTTTTTTGGTATATACATTTCGAAACCTTATAAAAAAAATTATAATAAGCAATCATTTTATTTTATCTCGTTTTTTTCCTTTTTTTTTTACACGACATCTTTATATAATTTATATATATGTATGCAAAGCAAATGAAATGAAAATTTATAGTAGATTTAATGTTTTTAAACTAATTAATTAAATTGAAGTCTTGACTTTAAATAAGAGAGCTGAGTTTACATTTTCCTTTTGAAGTTTGGATGATTTCTTCATTCTTCTACTTTTATGGAGTCAAAGGGAAAAACTACATATGGTTAATCCAAGAGACGTTGGATGATGGGTAAGATGGATTGTGTACCTTACAAAGCGCATGAGAATTAGAAGTGAGGGAGGTTAAAAATGAGAATCGAACAGTTGAGAGGAATGTGAGTAGTGAGTAGAAGGGAATTAACAAATTGACTGAATGAATCTAATCAATCCTTCAGCCATCTTTCTTTTAAAGGTTTTTGTAATATAAATTTGGATCAGTTTCTTTTTTTGGGATATTTCTTCACTTAAAGAATTCTTTATCTTAATCTTACAATTCCAATCAAACTTAAAATCCACAATTTTTTAATTTTAAACTTCAAGTTTTAATCAAATTCCAAACTTTTCTCTTTAAAGCTTTGAAAATTTAATCGAGATTTCTTTAACTTTTCTTTCTTTCTTATTGATTTTTTTTATCTTTTTTTTTTAATTCTTGGCCCCGAACTTCGAACCTTGAAAGTTTTTCAAAAAACCTCCTGATTTTGATTTATTTACACATTTTGGCATTATACTACAGTTTGTGTAAGTAGATTTTTCACTTGATCTTTGACTTTGTGTTATGTATGTATGTGTGTGTGAGTTGTGTACAGTCTCAGACAGTTGAACTGATTTCTCATTCAATGCTTTGTCTTTTAGCAACCCTTAAAATTACAAAATCCAATCCAACACTCCAACTCTTCTCATCTCTCTCTACAACACAAGATGGTCAAACGAGAATCGTGTAGAAGATCAACCATTCGATCTCATCCATCGTCTAAACCTTCGAGTTCTAATCAGATCAATGAACCTCGTAGGGTAAGTAAAGGTAGAGCTCGTACTAGAGCTAGTGGTCTAAAGGTATGTATATATATATATGTGTTTGATCCTTTTTTCTGGGTTTCTCTTGCCTTTGGGGGTTTAGTGGGCTTGGTTTCTGGTCATTTCTATGATTGTTTATTTCTGGAAATATCTCTTGGAAGCCATCGAAGATTGTTGGGTTTTTTGGTTTTGGCTACCCACACTCTTCACTTTTGAGGACTAATTATACTTCTTCAAGGAGGTTTCTTTGACCTGGGATTGCCTCTTGGGTCGGATCCCATTAGATTTTATATATATGTGAAATCGTTTGGGATACCAATTCAATTCTTAAACTCGACATCTTTTTTTCAAAATTACTCATTTCTAATTCATCTTCTTACACCCCAACCCAAAGAAAAATGAACTTTATGAAAAACCCAACTAACTGATTTTTTTTCCAATTTGTTTTTGTTTTGATTTGGAAAACTAGTTAATTCAAGATCCAAAAGATGATGACAAACTTTTAAAAGAACAATTAGGAAAGATGGGATTATATTTAAGTAATACGATGGGAGATGGAAATTGTTTGTTTAGAGCACTTTCAGATCAAAGTTTTGGTCATGAAGACTTACATGATCGAATTCGACAAGAAGTTTGTGATTATCTTGAAAGGAATGTTGAAAAGTATAAAGATTTTGTTGATACGGATGAAGAAGAGAGTTGGGAGACACGGTTGATGGAGATGAGAAAGTTAGGTATGTGTTTATAAAGAATGTGAATTGTAGAAAAGATTTAGAGAGAAAGTAAAAAACTGATCTGGCTTGATGTTTTCTTTAGGAACTTATGGTGGTCATCTTGAACTTTCTGCATTTGCTAATCTTCATCAAAGACCTATTAAAGTCATTCAACCTGGTATGATTTATATTATTGGTTATGAAGATCAATCAGCTTCTTCTGTGACATCCAAGAATGGCAAAGGGAAAGCTAGACATGTAGAATCGGATGGTTCATCTACTTCGACTCCATTGTACATCGTTTATCATCAATGGGAGGTTAGTATTCGAATTGATTGATTGATTCGGATTCGGATTAGGTACTGATCTCTGGGTCGGCTTTAGCATTACAGTAGTGTACGTAACTTGGCTGGACCTCATTCTGGACCACCTCAGATCCGAGAAGTAAGTGATCTAGTTTATTGTCTAAGAATCCTCTCTCCTTTGCTTATCTTTTTCTTGTTTCTTTTTTCCAATAGAACCTTCGACCATCCTCTACATCACCCAAAGAAGAAACCCACTTTAACTCTTCACATGATCCTACTCAATTATCTACCGAATTAAACTTATTGAGAAAATCATTACCAGAAGAAGTGAGTTATACCAATCAAGAATTAAAGGAGATGATTAGTCGAACTGGCTCGTGGGAGAAAGCATTAGAAGAGGTTTTGGAAGAAAGAGTCGAAGAGGAAGAAAGTCATTCAGAACAATCGTCTAGTTCACAAGTTCGAGTGATCAGTTCTTCTACAAGCCAAGATTTGAAAACGAGTTTATCGGTCGGATCAGGTTATAGAGAACCTACTCCGTCATCTACATCAGTGACCACAGCTTCAAGTCCAGCGAATTCGACGGCTCCTAGTTCGATTCGAACCAGATCGAGTTCACAGTTACGGAAACTTTCGAGATCTCATTCTAGATCACCTGAACCATCTGATTCGACCGACGAAGGGATCGGAAGAAGATTAAGACGTAGAAGAACGAGATCATCGAATCCAGAAGGCTTGAAAGCTCCTCCTAGATCTTCGGCTAGTCTAAGTAGTAGTGGTGGTAGTCCATCAGAAGCATCGAATTCTTCTGAACACTTCACTTCTCCTGAACTTGAAACCGGTTCAGTTGATCTCTTAGCTCATCCAACAGGTTCAGAAATCTTGGTGAATGGAGAAGAAAAGAAATCTCAGATTAGGAAGTCTAGGTTGTGTAATAGATCTAAGGCTAGCTCATCTCATTCTCCACTTAGTAAACTGATGAGTCGAAAAGAAATCAGACAAGCACAAAAGAAAATCAACCGGATCGATCAAGATTGGGTAAATGTGGGTACGGCTGAAAGGTTTGGAAAGAGTGGAAAAGATGGGGTGGAAACTATTGGGATGTTTAGAGAACTTAGGGTTTGAGATGGAGTTTGATTTGGTTGGATTTATTTGGGATTCATTTTACCTCTTTTTTCTCTTTCCTTTTCTTTTTTCTTTTCTTTTTTGAGGTTGGTTTATATAACAGACAAAAGGACGATTTGAGGGTTTTGATTCTTTATTTCTTTTTTTCAAACTGATCTTCATTAATCAAGTTTCGTTTTTTTAGATCTATATATCTATTTGAGTTAAGTTTTGTATTGTTGTGTATAATTACATGTGTTTTTTTCTACCAAACGTTTTTTTTATATAAACAAAATTGCACAGTTTTTTGTTATGTTTTTTTTTTCTTTTTGAAAGTCATTGAAATTTTGAGGTTAATGGTGTAGTTTTTTTTATACATATCTTAATCAAATTAGTAATCTGGGGTTTCGTTTCATCTTTTTTTTTCTTTGATTGATTTTTAAATGTATCTTATCATACCATCTTTGGTTTTATTTTTCCTTTTTTTAAAAAAACTTAAATTTAATGTTTATTTTGATGTTTGCAAATTGTTCTATGCAAGAGTTTTATTTCTTGCTTTTTTTTGGGCGGCTGGGGGGTTGTGTTGGTTGATATGTAAGGTCATTTTTGAGGAATATTGGGTTACTTGTTGGGGTTTTGAGAGAGAGAGAAAGGGAGAGACGAAATGATTCGAATTAGGGAATCGGAATAGGATATTTGATGGGATTCGGATTCCGGAAGAGTACATGATGAGTTTTATGGGAGGAATTTGATTGATGGAGTCTGAAGAGTTTGGAAGAAGGATGGTGAAGTTTCTTTGAAAGTTTGGTTTGAAATTTGGGTAATGGAAAGTGTGGTGTTTGTGCTGGCAGTGTTTATTTATCATTGAATTTTCAAGCCATGAGTTAGGCCCTGTCCAGTGGTTCAAAGAATTCATCTTGTTGAGACAAGTCTAGAAGTTGGAAATGCTTTTTATGGGTTTCGGGTTGAGAATTGGTCGAGATTTGATTGGATTTGAGAGGTTTTCTTTGGCTTGGATATGTGATACATATTTGATTCATGAGATGACAGGTCACGTGACATGTATGTAACACTCTGATTTTGATTGCGAATTTCGAAATTTTCAAGAAAGGACTCTGAAGCATTACTAACACTTTATCAAACTTTATAATCGGCTCACCTTTTTCGAAACATTCTTCAGTGGACCTTGGATCAAGAGAAAACTCTAGAGACTCGATCATGTCTCAACCTTCTCAAGGACTGACTCCATCTAGCCAATCACAAAGTGGAAGACAAAGAGCACCACAATGTGTGAGATGTGGTTCTCGAACTTGGATGAGAGATAGGAATCGAGGTGTGATGATTTGTAGTGAAGGTCATGTACTAGAAGTTAGTGACTTGATTCCTTATTTGTTCAGGTTCTTGGCCTTGGGTCTTCATCATTAATGTTGAATTTGAAACTCGTTCTTTTTTGGTAGGGTTATATTCGAGAAAGTACAGTGCAAACTGAAATCTCACAACATTCTACACGAGTACGTAGAGTGAGAGTTGGAAAAGTGAAGAAAGAGTATGTTCTGAAAGATGGTCAGTGATCAGATTGATTTTAAATTAGTCAAAGCTCAAACTTCACTCATGATTAGACCTTACGATTGATGAATTTTTTAGTTTATACCAATGAACATGAACGTTTGCTCTTATTACAAATCTATACAATCTTGATTCGAAAGCAAACAGAGGTCTTGATCAAGGTTCTTCGAGCACCACCCGTTCTCGAGGTTAGCTTGATTATCGAACTCATCACTTGAAACTCTATGGATCTCAAACTCGATTGTCTTTTACCTACTTCAGAACGTAGTGAACTCACTTTGGAGAGCTTATCTCAACACACTTTCACTTCCACCTATCCGATTACTTTCATCAAGATCATTTTCACCTACTTCTAGTTGTTTTCCTACTCATTCTCAATCCGGTTATTCATCAGAAGATTCTCGTTTCACAGATGCTCGATCTCGTTTTAGTAGTCCTGCTATTCCACCTGATGGAGATTCTGGACTGCCTCTGACTCCAGAAACGCTTAAAGCAATGACAGAAGATGAATTAAGTTCTTCAGATGATTCTGACCGACGAGCTCGCTTTCTTCCGCCTCAATCTGATGATGAATCACAACATACTTCTCAAACTGGTGATTCAAGAAGCGCTACTGGTAAGAAACGAAGACAAAGAAGGTTGAGTAAAGAACTCCCTAGGATGGATTCTACACTTGGGATTCTTTATTTGGCTTGTACTCGACTTCGACTTCCGATCATGATGCACGATTTGATCAAGTGAGTTGTTTTGAAGGTACTTGTGAAATTTCATCAGTTAACATCTTGATTGAACTCCTTTTGTTTTTCAGTTTGATTTGTAGTAAAGAATTGCCTTATATTGGTTTTATGTCCGAGATTCCTGATCATCTGAAAGCCAAAGCAAGTCGTGCCACCATTACACTTCTCTCGATGCAAGTCAGTCATCTCATCTCAGTATCCACCTTTAATTTGTTGGATTCTTTATTGATGATCTTTTCACTTTCATAGAGACCACCTAGACTTTATCAAGGCTGTCATCGCAATGGACTTGCATCAACATGCTATAAGCTTGCGAGTGATCTTAGAAAACGTGAAGAAGAGCTACTTCCTACTAAAGATTGTATTATCAATGTACCCTTGATAGCTCTTCGGTTTTCTCAAATGTTACTTATACCACGTGAGTCAACAAAATCTAAATACCAAGCTTGACAGTCAAAGTGGTTTATCATTAACTGATCAGAGTTTTATTTCATTTAGCTCCTATTCATGCACTTGCATTACATATCACATCTAAACTTGATCCAATCTTCTTCGGTTTCATCGGCTCATCAAAAATGAAACCAAAACCTGGAAGGAAAAAAGAAGATACCGATTTTCAATTTCCACCTGATTGGGTTTTGATGGCTTGTTTAGTTTCAACTATTCAAATCGGTTTAGAAGGCATTAAAAATCATCCAAATCATTCTGATCCGGTTTATGAACTTGTTAAGAAATCTTTACCTAGACTTAAGAATTGGATAGAAGCTATGGTTAGTTTGAGGAATTCGATTGATCATAAGAATCCTCAAAGACTTTGCGGGTAAGTGTGTGTGTGTGTGTTTTCGACATTTTTTTTCTTCTTGGTTGGGTTCATTTGAGATTGATTCTTGATGATGATGAACGCTTTGTTTTTCGATTTGGAAAATTCAGGTTAGATGTTCAATCGATTGAAGGTGATGATTTAGATGCTTATATCGATCTTGCTGAAAATTTCTTGTTAAGTGAAAAACTCGGAACTAATAGTAAGTTAAAGATAGTTCCAAATGTAAAATATCAGAGAGAGTTAATAAAAAAACAAATTCATTTTTTAAAAATCAAATTCATTTTTTTCTTCTTGATTAGATGCAGTTATAGAAGATCTTTATTTTCCATTATTGAATCAAAAAAAACTTATTAAAGAACCTAATCGAGAAACAATTTATAAAGAAATTTCGAATCGATTATTAAATCATTCTATTAATAATACAGAAACTTTAAACAATGATGATGATGATGATGATGATCCAAAGGAATTTATTACAATTCTTATTCATCATGCTTCAAGTATAATTGGTTCAAAAGAAAAAGATTTTAAGAGACTTTTGGGTTTGATTCAAGAAAAGATTTATAATGTATTTTCAAAATGATAGATTAATCAAATCAAGTATGAATACATGTAGATTAGGTTCAAAGGTTTTTTTTGATGTGATTGTTTTTTTCCATAAGGGAGATGTGATATCAAGTCAAGCTCAAAAGGTTGGGATTATGTTTTTCTAATAAGTGTTGATGTTTTTTCTTTTGGAAAATTGTGGCTGGGTAAACCTTTTTGCTTTGGTTTATCATCAATCTTACCTCTTGGCTAAGATACTGGGCCCTGGCCTTCCATTTGGCCCTCCCTGGTGATCCCAGCTAACTGCTCAAAGCCTACCCCTGTCACACAAGCTTTTGACAACCTTGCCACTCCAAATTTGTAGCTCTTATGCCTGGGGTATTGTTAGACAGTAAAATGTTATGGTTGTATACGGGTTAGATACCTAACCCACCTTGTCTTCACCCACAAGATCATATCTGGCTGTCCCAGCCCACATGATCATTTCATACAATAAATCATTGCTCAAGCCTGATAGATTTAAGAGACTACTCTGTATGAAGGCTGTGCCAATGTTTCAACTCATTTTGACAGACTGGATTAGTAGAAATAAAAAATGCAATGGTATGGGTATGAAAGATTTTCATGAGACCTTCTACTTCATTATTAATAGTTACTCTTATTTTCTCAGTGACAAGGAAAAAGAGAGATGTGGGTGGTAGGTTCCAGAAAAGAATGTCCTTTTCTGGAACCTGTTAGTTCTAGATAAGTCTTAAATGTGATCCTATGGAAAGGGAGTTCATCTTGTGTTTGAGTGAAACTCTCTGTCCGCATCTTGTTTAGAGAGTTCAAACCAAGGGAGTCTCTCTCTCAAGAGGGATGAATCTTCAGAGATTTCATCTGATGAATCTTACAATTTCTGTATCTTTACTTATCTTTGTGCATTGCTGGAAAGCTATTGATAGTCATTATCAGGGAATCCTTTGAATGGAGGAAACTTCCTCATGGCTACCTACTTGTAGTAGGGGGGTAGCCTAGGGAACAGAGCACAGTGATCATAGATCACACCAAGTCCAGAAGGCTCCAAAAACACAACAAATCCATTTCTGTCATGAGGAAAGGACAGACGGCTGAATGTAACTAAGAAAATATTGCTCTAATAATGAAGACAAAAAAACCAAACACAAGAATGCCAATCAATTGTGATCATTTAAACTTACAATTCAACTTACCTATATAGATAGAAAACAAAAAGGTGTAGATCAATGCCCATAGGAACTTCATACATAAAGAAAAGATAGAATCCAGTGAATGTGCAATATAAAGCTTTTCTATATAACAAACCCAAACCTAGTCAGGTTGAGCGCCAAAAGTTGTTTTCTCCTACTCTGCGATTCTTTCTTGGCCTCCACTACCTTCCTCACTGCTGTTGCTAGACTGGGTAGTGTAATCAATTGTAGCGCCACCCGACCATGGGATCGCATCAAAGAGATAAGAGATCGATTCACTAGAGTATATGATCAAAAACACAATTATTCAGCAAAGAGATATATGAAGATTATCAGTCAAGACTGACCCATAATGACTACGTCGGATAGTTTCGGCTAAGACTTGGGAGATATCCACGCAGACCAATTTCGAACATGCGTCAAGATGATCGCGTTGAGGGATGGTGTTGGTGACTACTAAACTAGCGATGCTAGAGTTATTCACGTTGTCGATTGCAGGACCTGAGAGGATACCGTGAGTGACTAGAGCAATCACAGTCGTTGCTCCAGCATTCTCAAGATGTTTAGCAGCCAGGCAGATGGTACCACAGGTATCAGCCTAAAGACAGGATGCGCGGATGAGTAAATTGAACTTTTCCGATTGCGAACTCATGAAAGATGCTACTTGCCATGTCATCTACCAAGATAGCCGTCTTGCCTTTCACGCTACCAACCAAAACCATTCGAGAGACTTCATTGGCTTTCTTCCGCTCTTTGTGAAACAGAGCAAAGTCAAGATCGAGTCGGGCCGCAATAGAGGAAGCTCTGAGCAAGCAGATATGCGAGTATAGTGATCAGTAAGAGCAGGTGATCGAAAGATGAAATAGCTTACCGTTTCGCTCCACCAGCGTCTGGAGATACAATCACTGCATTTGCCACCTCGAATGTCTCTCGGATGTATTGAACTAAGGTGGGTTCGGCATAAAGACTGGTAGGAGACAATCGAGGGCGTAAGTGAGAAGATTGAAGGGAAATGGGACCAGTGTGTTTCGGAGAATCAGGTTCGGGGTAATAATTTATATATATATTCTTGAGATGAGGATTTCCAGTTGACTAACTTGTCAACAGGACAATCGAAGAAACCTTGGATTTGAGAAGCGTGGAGATCCATCGTCTAAATTGATTTGACAAATTGGTCAGAATCCAGAAAGCATGTAGAAGAAGAAGAAAAAGAAAATCCACTGACTATGACATGATGAGCTCCTGCTTCTCGAATCATGTTAGCTACCAACTTGGCCGTGATAGGTGCTCGTGATTTATCCTTCTTATCCTGTCGACTGATTGAACAAGGAGGAATGAAATCAGGATCAGTGCCAGGGGAGAATCGTCAAGGGTCATGACGAAAAGACTGAAGAACTGACGCATATGGAAAATGAGGAATGACAGCCGTGATTCGAGCAGCGGACGCAATCGAGCAAGAATGAATCATGATTAAAAGTTCTAAGAACAAATCAAGAAGATTAATCAGGATTTTTGAAACTTTGGTAGGGAAAAGATATCAAGGATTGAGAATTGAACTCACCCATCAAACTGGCATTAGTAGTACAAGTGATAGAACTAGCTGTACCAAGGATATAAACATCTGCCTGACGAACACTCTCTTTGATTGAAACTGAGATCTCTCCTGATGGTCTACGATCGAGTGTGGTAGGTGATAAAGGAATTCCTAATCTACGAGAGACTTGTTGAGCTAGAGCTGGGTGAGATGTACCAGAGAAAAGTCGAAGTGAAGAAAATCCAGACATGATCTCGATTATCGTCAAGAGGGTCAACAAGAGGTTCAACAAGAGGGTCAACAAAGTCAACGAGGTCAACAAGGTCAACTGGATCAGAAAAAATGTTTTACTGAGGAATTTATCAGATCCGGCCGGGTACTGATCAAAACCCGAGCAGGATCAGCTTCACATTCTCGGGTTCTCGGGGTTTATGCAGCATCACCAGACTTGGTCGACTGTTTTTACTCTTTCGATTTACACACATTCACAATATTCGGTTCCACATCTCTCACCAAAACCTCATTTACCATGGCTGTAGCTCATGATGAACAAATGATGGACCTCATTCGTGCTCGATTGGCCAATTCGGAAAGACCTCTAAGTCGCTTACTACGCGCGTTTTATCGACTGGCAACTCTTTCACCTCAAGTTCATGATGAAACTCAAACAGATAACTCAAAAGGAAAATCACAAGATTACTCTGATCAACTTTACATGCAACATGCTAGTTTTCTCGTCGAGCTCAATTCACTCACTAGATTATTGTCTGAATCTAGAGGTATTAGAATGTTACAGATGACAGCTCTTGAACTTGAAGGATTAGAAAAAGAAAAAGTACGATTGGAATCTGAAGCTTTAGAAGAGACTAGTAGGATATCTCAATTAGAATTAGAACTTGAAGACGCTAGACGTGAAAGAAAGAACAAAATTCAGTATGAAGAAATCGGGAAGGAAGTTAGGAGATATGGTGATCGATTTACAAGTGCAGGGTTCGTTCAATCTACCTTTGTCATGCTTCGAATTCTGGGATTTTAAAAAGGTATATTGGGTAGTAACTCTTCCTTACAGAATTTTGTTTTTTAAACTTTCTTTGTGGGCTTATAATTTTGAAATGTAGTCGAATCAGTGGTCTTGCAAAAGAGATTACCAACTTACTCGACGACCAACGTCTTTATACCGAACGATGGAAATCAAGAAGAGATCAGTTTGATACTGTTGTATCGAATCTGGAAGTCCTTCAGGAAAGTATAAAGTGAGTGTGAAATGTTTTAGACTCATCAGACTTACATTCCAGTTAGGCTTATCATCTTGACCATTCCTTTTGATGCCTTTTAGGGAGGAGAAAGCTGATGCTGATCGTAAGAAGGCTCTGAATGATGACGACGCAGATGATGATGAGGGTCGAGCAGCAGAAGAAGAGGAGGGAGATCAAAGTGGGATTGCCGAGATGAGCAAACAAGCCGTTGACGCTGATATGTCTATCGATCTCAATGCTGCTCCTTCTGCGCTCAACGATTCTGAACACGAATCAAGGCCAAGTACACTGAACCCAACGGCCTCTGTCTTCTTACCAGAGGGTTCGACTCAAGGCTCTGCTGTTTCGACACCGGACAATCGTTCAAGACTTGGTGCACGTGCTACTAATGATACCCCGCAGCCTATTGAACGACCTTCTTCAAGATCAGAACAGAATGTAATGGAGATCGATGTACCAGAAGTGCGAGTCGAATCCACTCCTACCCGACGTGATCTTGATGATGATGCAACAATGGAAGATGGGGAAGAAAGGGAAGAGGTAGAAGAAGGACAAGAGATGGAAAGTGATTGAAGCCATTCATGAAATCATACCAACCCAATCGTACTGAAAAATCACAATCCAGACACACAGTTTTCATTTATGCAAATGTGATTTTTTATATACATAATTAAAACCTTGAGCTCGGATGATTATTGTGTCGGGTTTACCTTTCTTTTCTGGAACCCGATCAATAATGGCTTCATGACTTGCACATCGGATATGAACTTGTTGAGCTTCAGTTCAGCCTCAGTGGATCACCTGTGCGATAACGATGATATAGGATGGGAATGCCGACCAGCTTCGAATTTAGTCGCCTTTCCGGCTTTCCTAATGTTGGGTTTATCTGGTGGAGGACAGCAAGGACTCTTTGAAGACCGTAGACCGTTGGCCAATGTATATATTCCACCTTGACAAACATCACATAGGATTTGATTTTATGTAGAACTACCAACTAATTCGAGTCTTCCTTAACCTCTGTAACATCAATCACTAAGATCAAAGATGCCAACAGCAGACCATCGTGAGGAGCTCGCCTTGACCTCGATCAGGCCTACCCTTTGATCAACCAAGTCCTCTCGTTGACAGCACTTCCACCATTAACGATAAACTGAACCAGTGTATGTAGTGTTTGTTAATATCATCAAGAGAGTGAACACCATCTGATTCTCACTCGATGAGTGATCAATCGTCCTGCCTGTGTAATTCATGTTTATATTCAAGCCTACTGGCTTTTGAGCGGCCTTTTGGAAACAAAGTCACCATGAGAATTTGTTTTGTTTTTCAATTCGCAAGATGTTGGCTTTACATCATATCCGGCGTCATCACATTGAGTGTTATACAAATCACGCTGTACTCTGTGAACATTTCATAAGGCTTGCTCGCTTAGAAATTGCCGTGACAGAATGACGTTTCAACTCTGTGCCGCGTTACTTTTCGACCGCTCGGGTAGGGTGCAGCAAGATCAACTAGGCTGCTTGCATGGTTCTCTATATCTCCGCTTGTCAAACCTCCTTATTGAGCAACAAGTTGTGGAATGTGAGCTCATAAAATTGCGAATCGCTAAATCATCACAGGCAGGGCGAGGACTCGGAGTGATTGTAGACCGTACGCCGGCTCGCTTCCATGATCCATCAACCACCACCAACATGTCGCCACTCGAGAAGCCTGCTCTTCAGATATTGGCATCTTTGCAATATACGCAACTGGTCTCACGGAAAGCTCTTATGGGTTGGGGTACTGTGTATCCAGTCTTCGATGTGTGCGAGGAAATTTATCGCTAGCTTTATGCAAAAATATTCTCAAGTCGAGTTTTAGAGGTCCAAAAAAGTTATCTCGTGGATTGAGAGTCTGCGAAGATTGAGAACGTCCTCACCTAGGCTGTCTCGTGGTTCACTCATGAGAACCAGGTGTGAATAAATCCACATTGTACACAGCTTGCAGGTGATCATGACTCTTCAGGGAGTGAGCTACCATTCTTTTCAACATCCGTATGTCAAAGATCGTACTTGGACAACCTGTGAGCGTCACTCAGAGGGGGTGTCATTAGCGATGATAAAGAGCCCTTGTGGCCGGTCTGAAGTAATCGAGTAACCGATGTATCAGAGGATTCATTTTCAACATCTCCCTTCAACTTACTAACGCCGGTGTTTAGGTGAGGGAATATATTGACGAATTGCTCTAGTGGGTACGATAACGAATCTACGATACGGAAGCCCCAATCGTATTCACAAAATCCCACGCTATACACACCCAAAGCCTTCAGTAAGGCATACTTATCACTGATCGATTGAAGCGAGCTTCCTCACACCGGCTTATCCGAAAGACATATTGGTCATAACAACCTCCGTTTGCATATTTGTTTGTGCGGCTGTCTTGCTATACTACTATGCATGTTAGACTCCTTCAAGCTGGTATTCAAACCTCCCTCTTACGAGATTTGATCCTATGACCTTGTTTTCTATCGTGAATTGTGATCCGTGTAAACCACAAGCCGATGCATAAGCGGCGTGATAGTGATATAGAGAGGTTTGGTGATGTCACAAAGAAAGAACACAGGACGCGCATAATCGAATTGAATCAAAGTTGATTGAAAGCACGCGTCCTTCGTTTCATTCCTTTTTTCTCCTGGTTTATTTGTTTATTCGATGGCCTAGAGCCCTACTTTGGGTGGTCGATTTCCACAAAGACTATAGTATCATCCCAGGAAGTTGATAAATTCTGTGGTTCTCATCGAGAAACCACCAGCCTCCTCTCTCTGGACAATCTTTGTTTTGATCTATCCACCTTTGCATCAGAAACAACCACTGGTGTACATTCATCCTTGACTCATTCGGGTCTCCTAAAGCAAATCTGATTTGGCGTTCCTTGCTAGCCTTATTTTCCTCTTTTTTGGATTGATCACAAAACTAGTGCTCCAGTCAGAATTTCTTCCGACTCTGTCATCATATAACGGCGTAGTCTTCATCACCTCAGGTATCACGTCCACTCCAATCAACCTTCCGCAAGTTTTTCTCTTCAGTAGTCTTTACTTGTCAAACTCATTCTCTGAATTTTCCTCAAACAAATTTGTAGTTGCCTCGTCAATATTCTTCCATTCTTCACCTCGTGTATACCTTATAAACAATCGCAGTATATATATACCAGACACGATATAATGACCACAGAAATATTTCCAAGTCCACTCTCTCCTACTACTCTTAGACGCGCAGAGACAGAGACGACCAAGGTGATAAACCTTCCAAAGACGATTTCAGATCTGAACATTTACTATGCCAATAGTCAAGGAAAAGTAATCATCGATCCACTCGAGGCTGAAGCCGAGGTAGGCACTTTTCAGTTTACCACCTGTGACTCAATCCCAACTGAACTGATATGCATATTTAAATTCGATAGTTTGGTTCTGAGTTAGCTCAAAAGTTAAAATTGGACAAAACTGGAAGAATCATTCTCTGGCCTCAACCCTCTCATTCACCTGACGATCCTCAAAACTGGAGTTCGCATAAAAAACTCGTTCATCTTATCATTCTCACAATGGCTTCTTTTGTATGTCGTATCAAATGCTATATTTCTAAAATCAAAGGACGCATATTTTTGCGTGAATGATTTCATCCATAATCACATCTGATATTTTCTTTCGGGGGATGTGCACTGCCACAGGTTCCTGACTTTTGTAGTGCAATTGGTAAGATTCAATTTGACTTTTTGAAAGACAAATGAAGCGCTGATCTTCAAAAATGATAATGAAATAGGTATTGCAAGTCTTTTCAGTTTGGCAAAAGAGTTTGATACCACACCTGGCGAAATCAATAACTTGACTTCAAAGTAAAATCTCAATTAATTTCTTATTTGTTTCCCTCTTCAGAATCAAGGAGACTCTGATTTGTTTCATTTCTGGATCAATCAGTTGGTCTATTTTCTTACTAGGTCCTGGTGGAATCCTTGCTGTGATTTTTGTTAAGCGTTATGGAAGGCTTCCGGTATGTGACCAAAAAGAAATAGATCTCCAGAACAAAGAAACATTTGAATTTATTAAATCTATCTTTTGACATATTCATAGGTTCTGTTTTGGTCACAATTGATCGGTCTTGGTTTTTTGATTGGATGTGCAGCAGCACCCACACTTCCCATATTTGCTGGTTAGTCTTTTTGATAAATGTCAGAGCCCATGTGGACCTTTCTTCTGATCCTGGTTTTGATTATGTCCTCGATTCAGCGATGAGATGTTTGAATGCTTTCTTCTCAACTGCTCCTCAAGTCATGGGCTTGTATGTCGTGAATGGTATGCTACATTCCCGATGATGTATCCTTCACATATCGATGAATTCTGACTAAAATTGGATCATAGACCTCTATCCATTCCATTTGCAGGCTCGTATGGTCAGTGGTCCTCTAAGTAAAGCCGGCCTCATTATAAACGGTCTAACATTCTGTCTACCCTGACCGGTGATCAGCTGAACTTCTGGACCTGCGGATTTCTATCTTCTCCCTTTGTTTCTCCGTGTAAGTCAAATCATTGAAGAACAAAAATTCATGAGGTTCCTAATTATACAATGTCGATTCACAGGGCTATTTGGGTATCTGGTATCCAAAATTGTAGGTCTAACATTTGGCATATTTGACTTTTCAAAATTGGCATCCAAGAAAAAGCCTGGCACAAACTGATATTCCCATGGTCTGTAACTAGTCCTATCGATGGGCTTACTGGATAGCATCCATGTACGTGGGCATAGTGGTCATTTTGATAGCACTCTTCATGGAGGAAACTATCTACGATCGATTTTCGGAAGACCAACCAGTGCCAGGACGAAGCTTCAAAGCACGATTTGAGTCTTTAATCGGTATCACCGGTTTTCGAACCGCTGGTGATCGAGACACCTGGAGACAGGCTATAACTCCGATGATCCAATTGCTTGCAAGACCACATTTGATGGGGATCCTGATCTATCTGGTTAGTTGCTTCATTCAGCTTTCAACTTTCTTGGCCATTCTTTGATTACTTTTTGTGATGTCTTATGTAGGGTGCAGTTTTTGGATTTGGAATTGGAATCAACGTTACCAACGGTAAGTCTATCACCTCTTCAGCAAATCATATTTGAGGAAGCCCGATTCTTATCTTTTTCACATTTCCATCTTCAGTTGTCTTTGTTCTCTCCCCGCCACCATTCGGATTCGGATTAACTACGATCGCAGCATCTTCTCTCTGTAAATGAATGTTTCATATATTAAAGACTGTACCATGATTGAGATAATAACCTAACGGAAAAAATATGACGTTTGAACCGGCGACTTTTGATAATCTAGACGCGACTCCAGTAATAGCAGTATTTATTGGAGAAATTATGGGACGTTACATAAATGATGCGATTGCTAAACGTCTCACACATCGAAACTCTGGTGTATTTGAACCGGAAATGCGATTATGGTCAGTGTCTATTCATGCAATGATTTCAAAAATGAAGATAGTTAGTCTCAAATGTATAATCTCATAGGACACTTTATATTGGATTACCATTGTATGTTGGAGGTCTGGTACTACTTGGAGCCGCTTTTCAAGAAAAATTGAGCGTGTTAGTATTCTTTATATTTGTCCTCAGACTTGCGGCTTGCAATAATTTTCAAACAAAAGAAATTGATACAAGATTTTAATTGTCCGATAGTGCTGCTATAGTATTCGGATGGGGATTAGCAGAGGTAGCTACGATGGTGACCACAGTGGCATGTTGTGAGTTATTGTTTTTGAAAATGTACTCCAAATATCCTCTCGAACGCTGACTGCGAGCGGCTTTGTCATATTCGACAGTGAACTACACAAACAACACGGTAAGCTGATTAGACGAGAATGTGGTTTCTTCTATATTTTACTCGCCTTCTCAAAATCATAGCAGAATGAAATTGACCATGTGAATCTATTTTTCTTGACAAAGTTCCCATTTCCTGGAGAAATCTCTGCGTAAGCTCAAAATTGTACTATAATCCAAGCAACACAGAACTAATAATTTGCATTGGATGTCTTGTGGGGGTAGTTTGTTGAATCAAAGTCGAGTTCTAGGTGGCTTTGCGGTCCCATTTTTTCAAGTCAAATGGGCTAGCTCACGAGGTGCCTTGGAGACATTCGGATGCGAAGCTGCGTGAGTTTCAAATCAAACAAGCTAAATTATTAGGTTTTCGAAGAATTGATGTCGAATTAATCTGGGACAAAAAGGATCACTACCGGTATATTCTTGTTAGTTGTTCCGGTTCTTCAAATAAAGGGGCCACAATTAAGGGTGCGTGAAATTTTTACCTATGTATCAGAATCAGAAAAAAATGAGAATTTATAGCCTCTGTCTAACTCGCAATTTTTCTTCATCACAGGCTAAGTTTTCCCTTCAACCATCAATAACTGTAAGGTCCAGAAGTAACCGTGATTCTGCAAAACTTGGTACAGGTGCTTTTGATAAAGAGCCGATATCAAAGCCCCAATCCCCATAAATGAGTGTTCCATTAGAACACTGACAGATTTCATCGATTTTCTCTTTTGATAGTTCATATATCCTTGAGGTTCTTTTCTGTGTCATGTAGCTGTATGTTTATTGTTTATGATTGGTTATGGATTCAAATTAACGTCTTGAAATATGGTAGCTACGCTCCAGACTGATTGCGGGATGTAATACCTGAAAGAAAAAGGAAATTTCTTTTGCGTTAGGCTCTTTACCATTTTGTCCAGCTATTGGCAAAAGTTTTTATGTCCAACCAAGTGGGTCGAGCCACCAAAGATGCGTGGTCCTTGATCAGCAGGTTTTAAATTTATATCCCTTTAATCCGTGTAAAGGACTTGTAGTTGTGACGATGATTTGCAGAACAAGGTTGTAAATGTGGGTCAGGAGAAAAGGAAATTTAATTCACCACATGCCATCTTCAAGAATCTGGTGATGATAGCGAAGTGAATTAGAAAAACAACTGAAATGCTTGATACAGTTGTCTAATTGTGCTCGAAAGCTGCGCAGCGAACTCAAGTGCTTCAGACTTCCCCATTCCCATCATAAACTGATCAGCCGAATCGAGTAACTGCTTTCCAACCCTGCTCTATTCGAAAGACCGCCTTCATCGGTTTCTAACGCATCTTCAACTCGAACCGCACCGCTTCACGACGATGAACCACTGAGGCATAAGCTTCATGTCGGCGAGCGGTTCGGCGATGTGTAAGAATAATGAAATTCTGGACGAGTGACTTACAAATCAAACTGAATTTGGCACTGTTGGTTATTCGATGGCCTGGCAGTGGCACGCTGGTCTCAGTGATCGATATTCGTCTAGTCCAAGGAATTTGAAGAGTTTTGTCGTTGTCATCGAGAACCGCCAGGCTCGTCTCACTCTAGACAACCTTCATTCTGAATCTTCATTCAAGAAACGGTGTACAATGGCATTCGTCCTTGACTCGTCCAGGCCACCTGAAGCATTCTGATTTCACGTTTCCCCTCAGGCGTCTTTCCCTTGAGGCTCGCTAATTGAACGAATTGATCACACAACTTTTTCTCGAGTCAAAGTTTGATTCACTTCTGTCAACGCAAGCTTCCACTCCATTATAAGCCATCTTTTGGAACGTTTCCTTTCCGCTAATTATCGAATAACTCCTTTTCTAATTCGTCTGCAACCAGGTTGTTGTTGATCTCATTATATCTCGTCCATAACCTTTCCTTCTTTACGCGTCTTAAGAGAACCGTGCAGTATACATAAAAATTTAGACACGAATGGATTCAGAAATATTTACAATCCCACTCACACCGGCTTCTCTCAGACGCGCAGAAACAGAAACATTGAAGGCAAGCAAGCTCCCCAAGACGATTTTAGATCTCAATCTATCCTATGCTAGTGGTCAAGGAAAAATCATTGTCGATCCACTCGAGGCGGAAGCTGAGGTTGGCATCTTTCACTTTACCTTCATGTGACTGGAGTTCAGTTGAATTGATACATATGTCCAAACCAAATAGTATGGTAGTGAGTTGGCTGGAAAGTTGAAATTGGATGCTACTCAACAAATCGTCCTTTGGCCTCAACCTTCTCATTCACCTGATGATCCTCAAAATTGGAGTTCGCGCAAGAAAACGGCTCATCTTATAATCCTCACAATGGCTTCTTTTGTAAGTGCAATGAAAACCCGAGTTTTTGAAAATCACTTGACACACATCATTTTAAATGTCGAATTCCTAATGATTTCATTTACGTTCTTTGTAATACATAGGTGCCAGACTTTTGTAGTGCGATTGGTCAGTTCATATTCTCCGTTTTTTTGCCAAAACAAATGATTGCTGATTGAGCCACAAAATCTTAATGCAATAGGTATTCCATGTCTCTTCAGTTTGGCAAAGGAGTTTAATTCTACACCTGGTGAAATCAATGACTTGACCACAAAGTATGATTTCCTTTTTATTTTCTTCGTCACATATATACGTTCTTTTCCATTCTGATTGGTTTGATTATTTCTATAGTTGGTCTATCTTCTTACTTGGTCCTGGTGGAATTCTTGCTGTGATTCTCGTTAAGCGTTATGGACGACTTCCTGTATGTGATCAGATTTCTTGGTACAAAGCACAACAAAGTTCATCAAATATTGACTCTTGAAACCATTTTGATTGTTTCCTAGATTCTTTTTTGGTCACAATTAATCGGTCTTGGTTTCTTGATTGGATGTGCAGTAGCACCCTCCCTACCTGCATATGCTGGTCAGTCCTTTTTATCAATTTTTAAAACCTCAGCTGAATCTTTCTACTAACTTTGTTTTTGGTCTTTGTCATTGATTCAGCAATGAGATGTTTGAATTCATTCTTCTCAACTGCTCCACAAGTGATGGGCTTGTATGTCATCAATGGTAGGTTTTATTCCTGATCACTTATCCTCTAAGAAAGACTCAAATTCTGACCAACACGTAATCATAGATTTATATCCATTTCATTTACAAGCTCGTATGGTCAGTAATTTTCTTTCAAAAATTCACCTACCCTTCAAAATTCATCTAATATCCTATCGATACACTTCATCAACAGCTAAACCTCTGGACTTGTGGATTTCTGGCTTCGCCCTTTGTTTCGCCATGTAAGTCAAATTGCGGGGATCGATTTCTTGGACATTGGGTTGTTAACTCTACACTTCTGATATCCACACAGGGCTTTTCGGATATCTGGTCACATCATTAGTGAGTTGATGAAATTTATCAAATTCCGGCGTTCGAAAAAGACATCTTGAACTAATATTCCAAATGATTTGAAATTAGTCTTACCGATGGGCTTACTGGATCGCATGCATGTACGTTGTTATAGTGGTGATAGTCATAGCATTATACATGGAAGAAACCATCTACGATCGATTTTCGCACGACAACATAATCCCAGCAACCGGGTTCAAAGCTCGATTCGAAACTTTGATCGGTATCGCTGGCTATAGAACTTCGGATGATCGTGAAACATGGAAGCAGGCTATCACTCCAATGATCAAATTGCTTTCCAGACCCAATCTAATGGGTATCATTATTTATTTGGTTTGTGAATTTGATCAGCTATCGTTCCTTTTTGGATTTGTTGATGAATATCTGTAATAATTAGGGTGCAATGTTTGGATTTGCAATCGGGATCAATGTTACCAACAGTAAGTTGATATCCTCTTGGTAAAAATCGTATTGAAGGAAAACCAATGCTCATACCTTTTTTTATTACCACCTTCAGTTGTCTTCGTCCTCTCTCCGGCACCATTGGGCTTCGGATTATCTACAATCATAGCATCTTCAATCTGTGAGAGTTTTTCTGCACCAACAATTCCTAGAACAAAGGACTAGTAAACAGTGAAACAGCCAGCTAACTGGGACTACCTTCTTGTCCTTCGAACTTGGTACTTCAACTACCAAGACGCGACTCCAGTGGTTGCGGTATTTATTGGAGAGCTGATGGGACGATACATAAACGATGCGATAGCTAAACGTCTCACCCACCGAAACTCTGGTGTCTTTGAACCTGAAATGAGATTATGGTGGGTAGTTTTTCAATCCTTGATCATCAAACCCACACGAACATGTGTTCTAAACTGGATGATTTATTAGGACCCTTTATATCGCATTACCAATGTATGTTGGAGGTTTAATATTACTTGGAGCGGCTTTCCAAGAGAAATTGAGCGTGTTAGTATTCTTTTCAAAAATCTTTTCCCGCCGATCTGACAATATCCTACTAGGAACTTGATTGACGTTGAACTTTTTTTTATTTGATTAAACAGGGCGGCTATTGTTATTGGATGGGGATTAGCTGAGGTAGCTACCATGGTGACCACAGTGGCTTGTTGTAAGTCGTCATTTTCTTGAAAATATACAACATAACATTTCAACATCTGATCTGGAGGTGGGTTTGATTGATTTGATAGTGAATTATGCAAACAATACGGTAGGTTGATCAATTTGTCCTTCTATCTAACTTGCCGAAAACAAAGGGCACATGAAGTTGACTTTGTGACATATTCTTACCACCAAAAGTTTCCATTTCCTGGAGAGATCTCCGCGTAAGCTAAAAGTTTGACTAAACTTTACTGACAACAGAATCACTGAGTATGAAATATTTATAAACATAGCTTGCTGAACCAAGGTCGAGTTTTAGGAGGGTTTGCGGTCCCATACTTTCAAATCAAATGGGCTAGCTCACGAGGTGCCTTGGAAACATTCGGATGTGAAGCTGCGTGAGTTTTGAAATATAGATGAGAGTTACCGAAAGCGTTAGTTTTGATAAACTTTTCCGATCAACAGGTTTGTTACTCTTCTCTTCTTGTTGGTTGTTCCGATTTTACAGATCAAAGGTCCACAATTACGGGTACGTCAGATTTCATTCAGTATGCATCATACTTTTTATACATTCGATCTAACTTTATCATTTTTACCTTTGAAATGTTTGATCTCATCATAGGCAAGGTTTGCTCTTCACCCAGTCATAATTGTGAAGTCTGGTAAGAACAGTGATCCTGAAAAACGTGATATGGTGGTTCTTGATAAAGAGGTTAAATTGAAGCCTTGAATTGCAATCGAAGTGTCTGTTTTCATTACATATAACTAATGTACTCTATCAAATTGTTCTTATATCTATCTCACTGGTTTTGAGATACTTATTCTGGGTGTTACATTCATTATTCATTCTTGTTAAATTATTCTTGTATCTCTTTATCAATTGTTTAAGATTATTTTGTGTATTTATAGTTACTTTTTAATACTTAAATATGAACATATAAATAAGGAAATCTTTATGACTAGTAAAAACACCTGATTTTGTCAGATAAATTATTCTTGTACCTCTTTATCAATTGTTTAAGATTATTTTGTGTATTTATAGCTACTTTTGAATATTTAAATATGAACATATAAACAAATCTTTATGACTAGTAAAAACACCTGATTTTGTCAGATTGAAACGAGTTGAAAAGGTTTCTCTTTGCGAGTTCAATATGCTTCTAAACAAATGTACCGTGCATATTCTGGTGAAGGTGTTGATGGACAAGGAGTGAAAGGGAAGAAGTGGATGTTTGTATCGTAATTCTGAAGGGACGTTGTGTGGAAGTTGATCCGGTTGAGACAGTTATACACCCAGAAATGTGAGTTGTGATACAGTTGATTGAGTAAAATGGATTGAGTGAATTTCGACTGATGACTACAACTTCAAGACGATGTCGAACCACTTCATTCCAAATCAACCTTCACCATCAAAACCAACAGCTTCTTCAATCTCAAACACTTCTCCACCTCCAACTGCTTTAAGATCAAGACCTTCAGTTCTTTCTTTTACTTCATTAGCTCCATCTGATTCAAGATCGAATCCTCAAACTTCAACTCCATTTCATCAAGCATACAAACGTAGACTTGATGCAGGTCATATGCGAACTTCAAACAAACCTGGCTTTCGTCCATTCCTAGTAGATCGATCATCTTCTAATCATTCACATTCACGTACAGTCACAGAAGATGATTATATACCAATCAAAAAGATTTCAGGTAGACCAGAAGAATTAGATTTATTAACGATTGAAGAACCCGATGAACTTTTTCAAACGTTTACGATACGTGAAATCCGTTTGATCGCTCAACGTGCTCGTTCAGATGCCGAAAAGAAACAAGAAGAATTACGTGAGATGGTTGGAGAAAGGTATCGTGATTTGTTAGGTGCAGCTGATGCTATTGTTAGAATGAAATCTAGTTCTTCTAGTCTTTGTGAAATGCTTTATGATTCTATGGAATTATGTAATAAATCAGAATTGAAACGAAGAGGAAAAGAGGCAGGTTAGTCTTCCTTCATGATTCATTGAAGGCTTGATTGTGAATTGGTTCAGTGATCGATTATCAAAGAGAGTCTTCCTTCAGATCATCATACTAACGTATTGCTTAATCAAACAGGGCACATATACTCTACATCAACCGGTCCATCTTCTCGTACCACTTATACGTTAGCTACCCTAGTGAAGCTCATCCTCGTATTATCTGAACATATCTGGCGGTCTCTTGAACGAGAAGATTTCCTTTCAGCAGCTCGTTTCGATGCGTTAGGACGAATTATCTCAAGTGAATTGACTAGCGGTAGATGGGATGAAACTGGTACGACTGAGCCAGGAGAAGTATGCAAAACCTTTCCGATCGTGGTACGACAGAGTGAAGCATTGGCACAACTTGCACCTCAGATTGCATGGCGAGCACGTGGATTTTTACGAAGATGGGATGTTAATCGTCATGAGACTGCATCAGCACTAGCAGCAATACTTTTATTAGACAATACCAGTTTGATGGATACTGCTACTTTGTTTCTACAAGCTCGAAGGACTAGTCTGAATGCTATCTTGGCTTCAAAACCACTTCAACCTGATTTATGGACAGATCGAATTCGGAATGCTATCCGTCTTGTGATTGGTACACTTCAACAAACATTTGAAATCTTTGGTGTTGATCCAAAGGAAACCGCTGGCTCAACATCCTACTTTGTTCGACTTCTTCAAGCTATACAAGATTCTAGTAATACTACTCCACAACCTTCTGGATCTCGAAAAAATGATACACTTGATTCTAAACCTCAAAAGAATGATTCAGATACCATTCGACTCAATTCTATAATCTCAATGCTACCGAATGCTCACCAATCAATGCGATACCTACCGAAATCTGTGATTACCTTTTCACCTTTCATCCCGGTTTCTCTTGATGAACCAGTTATTCTTAGTGTAGGCGACAAGATGCCAGATTTCCTAAATGAATGGTGTCAAATTAGTCATAATGATTTATTAAAAGCGATTCATACACAACTTGAAAGTGTTCAATCAACCAGTGAATTAGTGGAATTTCGAAGTATGATCAATACTACATTACAACCTTTAAAGAATGATTTCATTACTAAACTTCATATAGAAATTCATGATTCTCTAAGTCAACGTTTTGATGCACTTTATGCATTGAAATTAAACCAACTTAAAACCAATACATTAAATTCGATTCAAACTCTCAAACCTAATCTTGGTGAACTTAATCGAAAAGAATGGATCTTTTCAAATCCATTACCATTACTTGAAACTTCAAATCATCAAACATTTGAAACCTTGATCAAATCTATACGTCAAAGAACTGAAGGTAGGTTTGGTGAAAGTGAAGGTATCATTATTGGTAATCTTGAAGATGTTGGTAAAGTTTTGAAACATGATTTCGAGAAATGGAGAGATGGAAATCTTGAAATTCAGGTTGAAAAATATGTGGGATTGGCTAAAGAATTTATGAATGGATTGGTGGATGGATTAGATGACTTATTAAAATCTGAAGATATATGGAATGGTATGTGGCGCTCAACATTGGCTTCCTTCTTCTGGAAATGTTCCTTGCATAGAACTTGAGCAACTGATGTGATTTTGTTCTTTGTTAGATCTATCACGAGAAGTGATGATCGGTGATATCGCCTTGCAGATCTCTGCAACTGAAACGAGCTTTATGACGTATCTTGCTTTATCTCATACAGAAGGAGTTCACAATCTATTTAAACCATTTCAAATCCGATTGGCTTCAATTGCTTCAAATTCACTCTCAAATTGGATTACAAGCACGGCTCAAGCTGCTGTTAAAATCTACACGTCTGATTCTAGTACGTCAAACTTTCTCATGTGGTACCCTTGTTGGATCATCAAGTATGACTCGTTTTTGACTAACGTTTCTCTTTGTAGTGAATTTGAAAAGAGAACATGATCCAAAAACATTGGATAATTGGCCAAGTGATGGGATGTATGCTACTATAGATTTCGTGGCCCAATCTCTTGCTGGTTTAGGACCTCATCGACTTGGAGCTGAAAAAGAGAAAGGTCTAGTGAGCAAAGTTTTAGAGGAGTTTTTCAATGGTCTTACGTCGGTGATAGAGAATCTATCAGACTTTGAAATCGAATTAATCCGATACCTTGGTCAAAGTGTTACACCTCGATTAGAATTTGCAGTAAGTCTATCATTCGAGAATCAAATTAAATACACATGAAACCTTTTACTGATGATCTATTTTTTTTTTTGTATTTAGAAGGAAAAAAGGAAAAATCTGGAAGTGATTGAAGTAGTGATTAAGTTTTTAATTAGGATTAGATCTCTTTGGTTTCCAATCTTGATAGATTTTAAATACGATCATAAAGAAGTAGATACTACTAAACAAACTGTAATTAGTTGTGTCAAACCTGGTCAACGATTCGCACTTTTAGCATTATGATTTGTATAGTAATCAATTTAATTTGGGAGATTAGGATTATGAAGCTTTGTTTGCTTTAGCAATGTGGTTCATTTCTTGATTTGATCTATGTGCCATAGAGAGAGACCTAAGTTGAACTCGAGCAAACATCATAGACTTCTATTTATATGAAATTACACTTTGTATAATGAGGTTAGTCCACATTTGGTTTATCATTTCACATACAAATCAGATTTTCAAAAACGAAAACAAATTAAAAGGTGATGGTGGATAAATTAATGTATACAAGAAAGTTGATTTTCCAAAATTGAAACCAAAAATTGTTTTTTTTTCTTCTTCTTTCAAATGTTTCAAGCAAAAAAAATAAAATAAACATCAATCTTTGAAATAACCGTTCATTTAGAAATGAAGATTCAGTTATAAAATCAAAATTAAAACAAATCAAGTGATGTAAAAAGAAATCTTGATCATTAATTCATTAAAATCCTTTTCTTCAAGTTTTCATATATAAATTATATTCTTTTTTGTTTTTGTGTTTCAAACCAATTTTTTTTTGTTTCAAATGAATTTGAATGAATTCAATTATTCAAGATCAAGAACAGATTAACATTTTTGATAACAAAGTTGATCGATTGATACTGAAGGTCTTTGATGAATATCACTTAAACTACCAAGCCCAACTGATTCGTCCATAACTGGTGGTTCTATTGAAGCTGGTTTAGGTTTACAAGCTTGGATGCAAGTATACTGTTCAAGATATCCAAGATGTTAGTAAATGCATCAAATAAAATCATAGTGGTTGGTTATTAAGTGATACTCACCATTGCAAGTAATGGGCCTGGAATACCGGCCCAACTCCATGATGCCCATTGGATAGCTATGAGAAGAATAGAGCCAAGAGAAGTTCGAGTTGGATACTTGAACGCATCAGTGACTAAGACATAGAAACCAAAACATTAAGTCAGAAGGTCATCACATCAACATCAAGAAGACTTTCAAAAAATAACTAACCGACGCATAGATCCAAAACCAAGAATGAAACAGCAACTATACAAATGGGGATAGCTTCAATACGTAATTGACTAGCTTCTGAATGAAGATCACTATATTTAGAAGCCAGTGCAGCAAGTTCACCTCGACCACATAATGGAGTTTCAGTGGTAGAATGATTATGATGATGACGACCAGGAAGATGAGCAGGTGGTAAACAAGTAAGACCAGAAGCTTTTGCCTTTGCAGCTGCTACTTCGTATCGATAATCTAAACTATCACGAAACAAATAACCTTGACCACGTAATGATCTAGTCAGAGCAAAACAAGTCACAAGAAATCCAGTTAAAGTGACGGTTGTAAATAAAAGATGTAATCCTGATAACATTCTAGTATGGATTGCTAATGTTTCAGCAGCTATTTCAAGTTGTTCGATTTGTTGGGTTGCTACATTAACAGCTGATTCATTAATAGTAGCTAGGATCACATCAATGGTCGTGATGAGTGAAGGTGTGATGGAATCGAGTGTGTCAATGGCTGTAGAGGTAAGTACGATGCAAGGTACTGGTAGGAGAATGACGATTGCAAAACTCATGTAGGTGAATGTAGTGCATAGTTTTGGTGGTATGTTTGGTTTGATGAACGGTCTTGAAGATGTAAAACCAGGTGAAAGTGAAGGCAAACGAGCAGCAAGGTCCCATACTGAAAATTGACATATTTGAAGATCAAAATTGGATCAATACCCTGATCTTGTAAAATCATATCAATTTGATGATGCTAGTTGACTCACCTTTGAATAGTCCAGCGCAGATGAGCAAGCTGGTCAAAAGATAACAGAGTTAAATATCTGTGAAAAAAGACACTATTCTATATGAAGACTCACCTATAACTTGCTCCTTGAATAGCGTTTGTTCGACCTCGGAAACGCGAAGAGGACAAATCTGTTAAAAGACTAGTAATGGCGGCCAAGTTGACTGTAAGGAAATATCTACATAAGTCACTGCTTCTAGAAGATAATACCTTTTTTTTCAAATGAATGGTAGGATACTCACGTAGGGCATGTAGTAAGAAAACCACTGGAAAAATGTTGGCTAAGATGGGTCGACGATAACCAAGAGCATTGATGATGAAGAAACGACGTTCGGTACTTCGAGAGATCCAAGAGACGCAAAAAGTTGTAAAGTGAAGTACGGCGCCTAAGAGTGATAGTCCAACAAGTGCCCAACAAGCCGATCGAGCAGGATTAGGTAGCTCTGGAGCTGATGTGTTCACTAACTCAGCTCGAAGCGCACTCCACTCTTCAATTGATGAGGCCATATGGCCAGAGTGAAGGGATTTGGTGGAAAATGTTTCAAACTTTAGCCTATTCTGATGTGTTGATTGTTGATTTGGAGTTATCTTTCGACGAAAGGTAATGAAGAAGAGGATACAAGATGTAGTAAGCTTGGATGAACGTTAAAGCCGATGGAAGAACAGGCCATGTGATACCCTAATGAGCTGTGTAACGAGTTATTAAGATGATATGGATGAATCAAAAGAAATTCCATTGACGTACGAGGAGATGGATAAAGGGGCGAAGGTCTTGTGAGCTCGATCAGAGGATTATATAAAAGTTTGAGCAAATCCTTTTAAAGATAAAACAAATCAACGGCATTCAAGGTTAGATCTACAATGTGGTATATTCGCTTATGGGATCGCTGATGACGCAGGGAGTAATGAAAGAATGGGGGGGGGGACTGAAGTGAGGAAAGTAGGGTATCCTTTCGTATCGTCCGATTGATAAACCAGATTAATTTCAACTCACTTTGTTTATGTAGACACAGCTTTGATCATCAGTCGAAGATGGTCAAACTCATGAGAGATAAAAGTTGCTGATTGCTTGAAGGAAAACACAGTGAAGGTGGTGATTAAAGTAAAGAACTTATGTACAATCTCGAATTGCACAAAATCTCATATAACTTTATTGTAAAAAGAATTTATAAAGTATATCTGGTCGACCCTAAATTCCTTTCGTTCACTTGTAGTTCCAAGACGTATCTCCAGAATGTTCTGTAAACGAATAGCTTGAGGATGAAATCTTAATGGTGAATCTTGCAGACCGAAAGAAGCAAAGGTTGAACTTGAAGTGATGCAAGAAGCTATAAACCAAACTGAATTCAATCAGCTTAAAACTCAGTCTTTTTTTTTCTTCGTTCGTCTCAGGTGGCTGTAAGTGGTGGAGAATTGAATGTGTTCGGAGTTTTGCTTACACTTAAACCCAAAAATTCTGAAACCACTCCTATGTACGAGTTAACGCAAATCGAAACGTAGGAAAGATAGAATTTAGGAATCCACAAAGAAGTTGAGATCAACTGACTGCAAGCAATGGACTTTAGATTCCTGCAAGAAGTTGAAGTGTGTATAAATAGACAACTGAGAAGAAAGGTGTTGTCTTTTCCTATCGCCGTTCGCACGTTAGACCTGCTCTACATATGTAGTTCCTGCTAGTTCCAGATTTCGGCTTAGTTTGTGAAAGAGCCAAGATAAAAAGGAACTAAAGAGAAAGGCTGTGAAAGGATGAAAAGGATCTGTGAAAAAGTTAATCGTGATAGTTTGACATCTGACTAACGCCAATCAATCTCAATCAAGATCTATTGAAAGTTTGACATTAGGAGTGTTCAAAGCTGAAAACTTGACATTTTGAAAGAGATTTTGAAGCGAGAATTTTGAACTGTGATTTTTGTACAGATGAACATTGATTCTCGTACAGATATGATCAGAAGGGAGTATCACTGAGTATGGATGTGCCCCCCTATGATTTTGAAGTGGAGCAAACCTGAGCAAACTCCAAAGCTCAAGATACACCCATACATATCTGGACAAGAATCACAGTTTTTCTGTACAACAATCACGGTTCAAAATCTTTTGCTTCAAAATCTCTTTCAAAATATGAAGTTTTCAGCTTTGAACACTCCTATTGATTCGGCGTATTGCTTGCGGTGTTCCATTTTCACCTGTCACCTTTACGAGCCACAAAAGTATTGGTACAACCGTTTCAAGAAAGATTGATCATTCTTTTTGAAAGAAAGTTGCCGCTGCAGCGAGCAAAACCAAACAAAAGTCTTCTTGGCAAGTGTGATTGTTTTTCTACTCTTCAAATTAACGGAGAGATAGAACCAAGTGAGAGACAAACACCGGGTTTTGGACCGTGACAGGATTTTCAAAAACAAACACATCTTTGTTCAAACACGGCTGTAAAGTATCACCCAATCTGACTGTGCTTTGACGAGATGACTCAGCATGACTCATGAGTGTTGTAGCTTTGCATGATTGGGTTTCGGAAGGGGATGACTGATACGTATGAATCCAGAGAAAAGGTTGGAGGGTTTGTCCCGTTTGGTGCCTAATTGGATTGGTCGGTCAGAGCACCTCCACCAACGCACGTCTATCAACATAACAAATTAGACACACATGTCACACATAAGGTGTATCATCCTGCACGCTCTCAAACGGTGACAGCTCACCATGCACGCCAGCCCGATTTTCCAGCAAAACATGAACTTTTGGAGTAAATGGTATTGGACAACTATTGAACATAATCTTGGCAAATGCTTTTATCACCACATCCCCCTATGATTATTAATCAAGAAAGTGATCAATGACTAATTGGTGGCTCAATTGAGTTTGGGTTTGGCATCTCAGGTATGGGTAGGATCAGGACCCCGGTATGCTCCTATAAGGGGTACTCAGTCAGAATTGTAATTTGTGACTTTTGAGCTCCTGCGGAATCACACTTCATGTGATTATAGAGAGCTCTCATGTTTTCTGCCAGTTTCTGCTTTTGCTTATTGCCACTCTTTCTATCATTTGACAGATGAACGGTGGCAAGGAATTCCAAGGACAGATTAAACCTGTAAAGTATTGAGAACCAAAAGAAGCCAATGGCTTTGCCGTTTGTAAGAATGAGAACCTGGGGTTATCAGGTCTAGCGTAAGCACAACGGCACAAGCCACAAAGCTTCACAGGAGCTTGTAAAAAGACTACACACCTGTGCACAGAGCAACAGGATACGGGCAAGATTTAGCAAAGCGGTAAAACGTGAGTAAAGATAAAAATTATAAGTTTCTTCAATGATGATACTAACCTGGGGTTATCAGGTCTAGCGTAAGCACAACGGCACAAGCCACAGAGCTTCACAGGAGCTCGTAAAAAGACTGCACACCTAACACAACACACACACAGATTAGTAAGAGTAAAGAGAAAGATAGAGAAAGAAAATATGAAGACAAACCTGTGCACAGAACAACATGATACGGGCAAGATTTAGCAAAGTGGTAAAACGTGAGTAAAGATAAAAATTATAAGTTTCATTGATGAGGGAAGAAACTAACTTGTACAAGGTTCCTTATCAACTAGAAGCAGTCATAGCACACATACATAAACAAAAAGAAAAAGAGAAAACATCACAGGTCACAGACAACCTATTCCCAATTAGGAAAGAAAGACTCTACACGTTCTAACCGCAACCTGATATTTGTTCAATAACACCCTCATTTGTCAATAACTTGCCACGCACTAACTTGTCTTGATCTTGTGAGTGAGGTAAGAGACTTCTTGACTTAAGCAGAAGTCCTTGACATCTTGATTTATTTGAGATACTTTAATTTGATTAAGAACCAGTCTACACACACACAGCCTGAAAACGTGGTATTGTTAAATACCACAACAAAACCTCACCTAGAGCTATGGATGAAGCCAGGGACTGACTCAGCAGTATGCACTACACAAAATGTCATCTTTACCGGGCGGTAAAGAAAACTACTGACATAGAAAAGTCCTGAGGCAACAGGAAGAGAGCTAAAAATCTGAAAAAATATGCACCTTGTTCCTAGATGTTGGGGCGTCATGATGAGTATTTTTTTGTACTTTACACACAGATATTGGTTTATGTACTAACAATAAACGCTGAAAATCATCAAAAACTCACATGTAACAATACCTGAAATTTGGGTCATGAGTATGAAGACAATATTTTGTGGTCTAAAAACTTCAATAATTCTTGCAGTTCTGAATCAAATCACTCGATTTGAAGTGCATTAAAAAGGTGAGCCTTTCCTCTACATTTTTCATTGAGACATCACATCTGTAGCTGGTCTAAAAAAGATCCTACAGAGCTATTCATGCAGAACTGTTTGAACATATGTAGAGTGTTTAAATGACTAGATAGCACCTTACTAACATTATGAAGTGTGAAGGAGAATAGTTCAGCTTTTGAATGAACCAGAAATAGAGTTATTTGGAGCAGAATTGCAAAAGTTATTGAAGTTCTTAGACCACAAAATATTGTCTTCATACTCATGACCCAAATTTCAGGTATTGTTACATGTGACTTTTTGATGATTTTCAGTGTTTATTGTTAGTACATAAACCAATATCTGTGTGTAAAATACTAGCAAATACTCATCATGACGCCCCGACATCTAGGCACAAGGTTCATACTTTTTCAGATTTTTAGATCTCTTCCTATTGCCTCAGGACTTCTCTATGTCAGTAGTTATCTTTACCGCCCGGTAAAGATTACATTTGGTGTAGTGTTGACAGGGGTGGGTTTCCCGGGGAGCTCAAAAGTCACAATTCCAAGTGACTACCCCTTATAAGAGCATACTGGGGTCCTGTAGGATCTCAAAAACCTGTGCCTCATGTTCACATTGGATGGACCAGAAGCTGAATATGAAATACAGCTGTTTTTAGGTTTTAAGCATGTTTTTTGGCTCTGTATTTGGTGTAGAGAACAGGGCGTGTTGGAGATGATCTCAGGGCATCACCAGTAGCCCAATTCAATTGTCTCCAGTTGCTATCACCTAGGTTCAACCACATGCACCGTGCAAAATTTGAAATTTGGCAACCTGAGTCAACCCAAATGCCCCAAGGGGTTAATAGGTCCTGAAAAGGCATCTTAATTGGCATAATTGGGGGTGGTTTGTGCCATAGATGACTTTTCAAGTTGATGTGGCCAGAAGGGTTTTTCAAAAAAATTAGTTTATTCCCATATATTTTGAACATATGGGTTTATAGTACTGGCTTTCAAACTTGACCTGGTTATAAACCCAGTTGACCCAGTTGACTTTCTGGCTGGGAACTGTCAACAAATGTCAAGTTGATACACAAAGTTACCACCAAAAAGCAACTGGTCAACCGGTCTACTTTGAGAGCCACTAGTGAACTTTATGGATTAATACTATGGCTATAGGCTCAACCCCTGAACCACTCTGCACCACTCCGCTGAAAGTCGGTTTTTTTGTAGTGACACAGAAAACAGATACAAGGTGAATTGCTGT